CGTTAAAAGGCAGCCTACTTTCATGCTTTCACTTGTTAAGAATATGACAGCTTAGAATGAAAGGATAGAAAGGATGTGACAGATTGCAAAAAAGAAAAAAAGTCTGAAATGATTTGTAAAGAAAAATTACTAGTAGTGAATTTATCAAAAGAATGCCATAATCATAAATATATTCATAATGTAAATATAATTAGAAATAACCAAACCAAAATTTTCAACCTGCCTCTAAGAATTCATTGAGTTATAACAGCAATCCTGTCTGATCATATGAAGGACACCACATTTGATCCCTGGGAAATGCTGAGTTGTCCTTCTTAAAGCATTATGATTTGTACTGAGATGACTAAAGAATTATGCTAAGCAACTGCATGACTTGGAAAGATTCAGCTTATGCGTTATCTCTTATGCTTATTATGCAGCAGTTAAAGGCAAAGGAAGAATGCCAATGCCAAATTGGGTATTGATAGAACTTCGCATTTCAGCAAAATCATAGATTGGTAGGAAAATATTTATTTTCTAAAATTTACCATTTTCAGTATAAATAAGAAAGAGCTCAAATGTAAGGATTTAACATGCACAGAAATTAAATATGGATCAGTACTGCCATTTTGAATTGAATGTGGAAACAAATGGAAGCCAGTGAAGCGGGCAACATCTAGCAAAGCAGATTAGTATCAGTTTAGTCTTCTAAACAATTTTGTCATCTAAAATAGAGGTCCCCCAACCTTTGCGGCCTGCTACTTGGCTGAGAGGGGCAGAGGGCAACTAAGCTGTGCAAGCTGTGGGGTGGCATGCACACACATGCATATGTGGCTCAACTGCAAGTGGCACTGCACATGCATCCATGCTGGCCCACTGCTTGTGTGAGTTGTGCTGCGCTTACGTGTGCATGCCAGGCCGCCTCTCACATAGCCTGATTCCGAATAGGCCACAGCCTGGTAGTAGACTGAGGCCTGAAGGTTGGGGACCCCTATTCAAAAAAGCTATTCTGTCTAGATAATTATAATTGGTATGTTGGTCTGAAAAAGCCATCATAGGGAATTCTGGAGTTGAAGTCCACACATTCGACAACAAAGTTGCCAAGTTTGAGAATTATGGGGCTAAAGCAATCTTCTCTATATTGTACTCACAGAGATATTAGTTTAGTTTAGTTTAGTTTATTTGATTTGTATACCGCCCTACTCCCAAAGGACTCAGGGCGGTGAACAGCCAAACAATAAAATACATAAATACAAAAAATTTAAAAAACCAGATAAAATCAAATTAAATCATTTTGGCCCGGACAAATTAAAACACCCCAATAATTTAAAAACAGATTAAAATTTACATATTAAAAGAGGGAGGAGATTAGGCCAAGCCCGCTTGATGGAATAAAAAGTCTTCACAGCGCGGCGGAAGGTGCGCAGATCCGGGATCCTCCGTATCTCTGGGGGGAGCTCATTCAGACGGTAGGTGCCCCCACAGAGAAGGCTCTCCCCCTAGGGGCCGCCTATTAGGTCTCTAATTCTGAGAATCCTGGTTCCAAAACAAACGAAAGATTCAAGATTGGAGCAAGCAAACCCATAATGATAAAAGGCATTCTTCCTTATAAGAATTTAATCCATAAAGGGAATAGAGTCCCTTCCATAAACTATCACCAAGGCCTTCATCTTCTCTGCGTTCCAGAGTCTTTAGCCAGTCTATCACTGAATCTTGGCATTGTGTGTTTTAGTGATCACTTCACAGCACTGATACCTGTCTCTGCATGCTTGTATTACTGCAACTCGATTGTGCACAACAATCAGTTCCCCTGCTAAAATTTTTAAATTGGTAACAGCTTTTATATGAACATTAAAATATTTGTACTTTATGTTGCAATTTTTTAACCCTCAAGATCCTTTTTCAGACAACAATCATACATTTATTTTAGTAAATAGTGAAAAGTGGTATCTTAAATGGAGCTGTGTATAACTTTTATGTTTCTGAATATATTCTGACTAGGGGAAAGAATTTGGCTATTTATGAGCCACTGTAGAACTGCAAAGTTACCATTTTAAATCCCATGTGCTGCATGTTCACAATGGGTTATGTTACAAAAGCAGACACTGTGTAATATGAGGAGCCCCTTAAGAATACAAATCAAAGATTTTCTGTAGCTTGAGTTCCCAGTGGATTGCCTGCTTTAGATATACAGATATAAAAGGTATTTTATAAAGAAATGAAGGATTGTTTGTTTCAAGTGAATTAAAAATGAAGGTTTTTTTAAATACATGAAACAGAGAATGATAATACCCTGTGGTTTTAACTTTCTGAAACTACAAGACAAATATTAGTTTACACAATTTGATGACTATTTTAAAAAATATATGTGTAAATGATACTATCTTATATTATTTTCCTATATTATTCTGTTAATCAAAACTATGTTTTTTTTTATGGTGTGTTTGTGTGTTCAAAACCTGATTTATATACTGTATCAGGATTCTTGAGAGTATTTTAAATAGTTTCAAATGGCAGCTGTTACTATATGGTAAGTCATTTAGCAATAGCAATAGCACTTAGACTTATATACCACTTTACAGTGCTTTACAACCCTCTCTAAGCAGGTTACAGAGTCAGCATATTGCCTCCAATAATTTACTGGGTCCTCATTTTACCCACCTCGCGAGGATAGAAGGCTGAGTCAATCTTGAGCCTGGTGAGATTTGAGCTGCCAAATTGCAGGCAGCCTGCAGTCAGCAGAAGTAGCCTGCAGTACTGCACATTAAGCCATATGTGTGCTTTTACATACTGTACCATAATGCAGGGGTCCCCACCAGTGGTGGGTTGCCCCCGGTTCGGACCGGTTCTATAGAACTGGTAGTAAAACTGGTGGGAGGCTCTGCCCACCGACCCCAACATCATCAGGAAGCTTCTGCACATGCGCAGAAGCACGCACACAGCCCCGTTATGAACCGGTAGTACAGGTAAGTAGAATTCACCCCTGATCCCCACCCTCAGTCTACGGATTGGCACCAGGCCACCGCATGCCAGAAACTGGGCCATGCAAACAAACAAAGCCCCATCAGTGGGATGCAGGCAGCATGCGAAACCATGCCCTCTTCGGTCCATGGAAAAACCTCTCTCCATGGAACCAGTCCCTGGTGCCCAAAAGGTTGGGTGCCGCTGCCATAATGCAACTACTGTAACCTATTGCACCTTAACAAAATCAAGTATATGACATTATTGCTTAGAATATGTTGTAAATAATTTTATGTAGTGAACTTTCCAAATTATTGAATCACAAATCAGTCATGGCAATGCCTACTTTAAAATACACTTAGACTCGCTTTGAGTTCCAGGAAAGTGTTTTAATATTGCTTAAAGCTAACACAAATGTTGAGAACACTGCCTGCTGATTAATCAGCCTTTAATTAATAGCTCCAACATTTACATTGTTTGCATCTTGAGAGGACTGAGCTCCTAGGTTATTCATTTATGAACTTCATTTGTGAATACTGAGTAATATTACAATGGTAAAATTTGGCATGACAAAGCCATGCAAAAGATTACATACTTATGAAATATTTAAGTTCAATCTTATATATCACAGGATGATGATCTTAAAACTGCAATTCCATATGCATTTGCTGAAATACCCATCCCCCTGATTTCATAAGCTTTATGCAAAATTAAGTGGGCAGAGGGTTATGGTTTATGCCTGTCTGCAGAATGGAGAGATCTTCCTTGAGTCTGACTGTCCCATTTTTTATTGTATCATATGTACTCTTGATAATCATTCCTTCTCCTATGTTGGACATATGGCAGAAGCCCTCCAGGGAAAAAGAGTGAGGGACCAGGTGTTCTGTGAAAAGATCTACCTGTTTGTTATGATAAATGCATATCTAAATAGAAGCATAAAGCTTTCAGACAGAGCTATGTTGAGACAGGAATATTTTACAAGACTTTTTAGTGCAATTTAGCTTCAAACAATACATTAATCTTATCTTTCTGGATTTGAATGTTTAGTTTTCCCGATATTGGAAAAATTGATAATATTTTTTAAGAATGCTCAATTTATATAGAATCCCTTATCAACTGCTCAATTTATATGGAATGTCACAAACCTGGAGAGCATAGGCTGGGGTTCTTCGTCTTTGGAGGTGGAAAGTAAAATTGTTGCAAAATATCATGTAATTCTAATGTTAATGTAATGTATGCTTTTACATCTAAAAATAAAATAAACGGTTGAGCTATCACACATTAGAGTGATTCAACAATTCAATACAGCAAATGATTTAATATTGATATTAATTCTGAAAGACATTGACATCATACAAGAGAACAGTATGCATATTTCAGTGATCATAATTCAGGTGTCTCTTTTAGAACTATAGATATTTGAGTAGATTTCTATTGGGATGAAAATTAAAACAAATAAACCCCAAAAATATACATACAGTCTTGAGTAGAAAATAGATTTTGTTCTGTGGAATGAAAATAATGAGAAATGAAAAATCTTCTCAAAACTAAAAGGAATAAGAAAGGGCTGTTGGATCACTCCAATATATGTTTTAAATAGCTGCTTATTCCAAGAGCTCCAGGAGATAACATCAGGCACAGTAACGATAATACAATGAGTGTAGTTTAGTATACCTTGCTATTTGGTATTCCAAGTACTTTATGTTACAAGAGATCTTTTCTCTGGACCTAAAGGATCTCCCTACTATTATGGCTGACATCTAAATACTGATTTCTATGAATATATCTAATCCCAGAATCTGTGAAAACATTCCATTAACATATCTGCATTAGGAGCCATGGTGGTGCAGTGGCTAGAATGGCAGTATCACAGACCAATTCCGATGACTTCCAACTGCCAGCAGTTCGGCAGTTCAAATCTCACCAGCTCAAGGTTGACTCAGCCTTCCATCCTTCCGAGGTGGGTAAAATGAGGACCCAGATTGTTGGGGGCAATAGGCTGACTCTGTAAACTGCTTGGGGAGGGCTGTAAAGCACTGTGAAGTGGTATATAAGTCTAAGTGCTATTGCTATTATTTATGTGAAGATTTTAATCCTGCTATACAGTATCAAAATCAGCAGAAATGTTTAAATAAAACAGAAAGAATGGGGACTTTAGAGTATAAGCCTTTGGTATAATTTTTAAAAAATTGGGCAGAAAAAGTGTGTGCCTCTTCTAAAGATATAAAGGAAGTTTTATTGATTTATTTTTAAGTGCTGTGGGGATGAGAAATGGATCAATAACAGAAATAATGTACCTCAATAACTAATAAGATTATCCCTGCCTTCAGAAATTACAACCAGGATACTGTCACCAAAGCAGAAATCAAAGAATGAAAAAAGAAAAACAACTGAAAATAATTTTCTGGAAATTATAAGAATTATAAACTATATGGGTGTACATAACATACAGAATCTCTATCGGAATTAAGTATCCACAAATTTGCCCTAGCATAGATTGCATTTTCTCTGAATAATCTGTATGGGGTAGCGATGGGGTAGAAAGGAAAAGTCAGTCAGTTCCCGGATTGTTATAATTCCTACACTCTTTCTGACATTCTTCTCTGTTTCTTCCTGTCTCTCTCTCTCCCTTAGAGGTTGCCACCCATCTCTTTATATTTATATTTCTAAAATTTTATTTGAAGTGTGACATAACATCCTAGCCGAATGTGGAAGAACTACTGTACACCTTTTAAGGTACTAGCCAGTGGTGGGACTCAGTCAGTTTGCACCACTTCGGGAGAACCGGTTGTTAACTTTCTGAGCAGTTTGGCAAACTGGTTGTTGGAAGAAATCATTAGGGCAGAGAACCGGTTGTTAAATTACTTGAATCCCACTACTGGTACTAGCATATTCAATGCAGTGGTGTCATATAACTTTGCGCCCTGTTTCAGACAAAGTTCTGTGTGATTACTCTTCCTCCCCCCCCAGTTTTCACACTGCAATTTGGGCCATCTTATATTTTAAAATATTTGATGAAACCGTAGCTAATGAAAGAAGGACAAAAGTGTCATCAGGCCAATGGAAATCACACACACTCTAGATTCAGTCTGGACCTAACAGGTGTCATGACATTCGCTTGAATCAAGCTTTGCCCTGGATCATCTGACACCTGATCAAGGCTTCATATCTTAGGCCCAAACAAACCCTTGGTCTTACCTCAGTCTATATTAGGGAATATCAGTATATTAGGGAAAAGAAAAAGTAGACTACATAAATTTTTTTCTAGTGAGTGTTAGTAGTAGTGAGTTTTGGATGTACAATACAGTGGGTTCTATTTGAATTCTAGGAAAAAAGACTTCTTAACAATAAGAGCAGTTTGACAGTTCAACCAATTTTCAAAGAACTGGTGAGCAAATCTTCCCTGGATGTGTTCAAATAGAAGCTGAACATTCCTCTGTTCTGGATGCTTCAATTTTGTCAGAGCTGCAATTTGAATCAGTGATGGCCCCTTCAAGCTCTATAATTCTATGTAACAAAACCATACTGTTTCATCTCTGGACAGATGCTATAAATAGCTGCTTCCCTGAGGAATGATAGATGCAGTGCAGTGATGCTATAAGAGAAGTATTTAAATCTACCCTTAAGCTGTGTCATGCTTGCTAGCCACTGAAGAGATTGCTAATCTGTAGAAAGAAAATCAGTGAGGGTTTTTAGCTGATCATTTGGATGAAGGGCTAATTACATAACCTTTTAGCTAAAAGGAATTGCTCTGTTTCCATGGTTCATAAATTACCAGTGTGAAAGGAAAGGATTATTGGTCACAATAGAAGTTGGGCTCCTTTTTCTACATTCATTACAGTTTTAGTAAAGAAATATGCAAGCTGCATTTTCAATTTATGTGAAATCACTTCAGTTTCCAGAATATTTCTGATTGCAATTGCATTAGGCTCAGATGTTTGGCTAAAGACTTTTTTTCCTTGATAGTTATAAATTGAGTGTGGATCCTTAGGAATATTTTTAAGTCTTTAATTATTAGTTATCATATTTTTAAAATACATAGAGCAAGCAGCTTAACAGAAAGAATACATCAAGGGAAGACTTCAGAGCAGAAACTCAGATTCCAAGTTAGTAGAATAAGCAGCTGGCTTTTAACATTTTGAATAATTAGAGCAATATACATAGTCATTATATGTCCTTTAGAAGAACACATCTAAAATTCTCATTATATTTGCAGAATTAGAACTGTGTCTATCATGGAAATATGTTTATATTATATTTATCCTTCATCTCATTTAGAGTTTCATGATTTCTGTAGGTTACCTGACCTAGCTGCTACACACTGCAGAAGTGAACATTCTTCTTTTGTCACAGCCACATTCCTTCATGAGGACCATATGATAACTGGTGATAAACCAAGCAGGGAGTTTATCAAAAAATTATTACCTTTTCTTCCTCCTGTTTGCTTTCTGACAACTTCTTCTGCCTTTTTCAAGCATAAGACTTGGGATGGAACAAATTGTTCTTGCTATTCTCTAAACTAATTCCTTGTACACAGATTTTATGGAAAGCGTTTCAATTTAAACCAAAGGCTGCTTGAAAATAGACCAAGGCCACATGTCTCCCTGGGTTGCAAGATATTTAGCTCATGTTAAAGTATATCCCATGTACATTTACATATGAATTAGCCTCAAAGAGTTTTATATCCAGTGAAGTATGTAGATTTTTCATGATACTCCTGGTTTTTAATGTTCTTTCCTATTTCTTTTAATATAAGGATTGATTGATTATGTTCAATCAATCAGGTTGTTGTCAACTTTTAGTGACCACATTAATAGATTTTTTTAAAAAATATAAATAATTAAAACAGTCATTTAGAAAAGTAAAACTAGGTAACCTAATTTGGAGCCCTGTGCTTCTTGACAATGCTTTTCTGAATGTTCACTGCAACAGAAGGATAGAGGTGGATGAAATTACCAATGGAAATTCTTGAATGTAAATTGATGCCTTGCTTGTGAATCCACATGGACACTGTTAGCAGACTTTTCTTCAAGTACAGTTTCTATCAACTTTTCCTGTGGTGCTTTCAGTAAATTTTCTGTAACTGTCAATTTCATATCTTTTAATGGATGATCAAAGAAGTGACAGATCTATTAACCCTGAAGATGAATTAAGCGTAAGTAAGCAAACACAGTGTGCACTGTAATGTTAAGACTGGGTTATATTTGTTTGTCATGTTCTAATTTACAGAAGATCTTTATTGGATTGTATAGCCATTGTAAATGCAGTAGATGTACTGTCTTTAACTGTAAACAATATTTTCATGTCTTTGTGTTCCCAGAATGATGGGACACAATATTATGGGATAATTGTTTAGAAAATCAGACATGTATAAAGAGATTGAATATTTTTTTAAAAAAAAAACCTAATTCCATCCCTATCTGGTGAAAAAAAGCAAAAGCAAAAGCCAAGTAGTGTATCTAAATATAGTCAGCTTTCAACTAGTTGGCATAGTAACCGTTATCCTGAAGAACTAGCATGTGGTAAAAAAAGGAAAGAACAATTTAAATAATTAATTGTGCAGTGATACTTAAATTACTTCACTGATGGGGGATGAATTTTATAATGCTTAACTATCACGAGCGTAAGAAAAATATATACATTGTTCTCATGCATATCTAACAGTAACTATAAATATCACTGTTCCTTGACAGAAAATGTAATGGTTTTGCTCATCGTATAGATAGAATTAAGCATTTTATACATTATGTTGAAGTCTAAAAAACTTAAAGAAAGAGGTTTGATTAGAAATAAGAGAAATTCCAGACTGATATAAATAGCTATCTATAATATCATATAACATGGTACAATACAATAATCTAGTTAGATTTTTCTAAAATGAATACTAGTAAGAAGAAGCTAATTAGAAAAATTGTATTAATAACTTTTGTTGTCACTAACTACTTAGAATTGACAATTATCTGTTCAGCAAACACATACAGCCAAAAAAACCATAGCAGATGCTATATCAATTGCATGAGAATTGTTAAAAAAGTAAACAGCAGTTCAACTTCCATCCCAATATTGAACGCTTTCTAAGGCAATTGTATTGTTCTTGGAACTTGGTGCCCAGATCATATATGATTATTTGCTGGGTATTTTTTTTTTTTTTTTTTTTTTTTTGAGAGAGAGAGAGATGAATCATGGAATTTGACTTTACACCTTCTTATCAGGCTTATTGTTGGTATTATCTAAAATCAAGAAAAAATGTCTTCTTTCCCAGAAAGTGAGATCATTCTCTCCCCATCGTGCTTCCAAATCTTAACAGAAAAAACACGAAATTCTTCCAATTTTAATGCTTTATTATAAAGCTATCTATTTTCCTGTAAAGCTAGTAAAACAACTCAATTCTACCTTCCTTGTTAGTTGCATCTAAAAATACTTGTATTATGGGTCATGTTTGTAAAACAATGGAAAAAGTCTTCATTTAATGTAATGAAACAAGGAAACCATACCCTTATTTAATAGCTTAAAACTGAAATGGGAGGTTCTCACCTTCTAAATGTTCTTGAATTCTTCAGGCCTTCAACTTTGTCATGATGTTTGGCAAATGGACATGGAATGCAACTGAATACCCCAAAGTTCTCATCTCTGTCTTTCTAATGAAAGCCCTGAACATATTTTCAGGAGAAAAGGCAACTATATATATATATATAAAAAAAAAGTATTAGTCTTTACCTTCTTGAAACTCTTTTGTTTTCTATTTTAAGGTATCAAATATATCAGTTCAAAGATCAGATTCTGAAGAAAAATGGGAAAGACTCACAAAAAAACTCAACAAGACATCAAAATCCAAAAGGAAAGCTAAAAGGGACAAGTCTGCCTGGAATTTTCAAAATAAAATAATCTTGTTTACAATAGTTCTCTTCATTATCGGGGTAATAAGTTGGACATTATTGTGGCTTTTTATTGGTGAGTTCTTCCTACTTCACTCATCTAAGCTTTGTAATCTTTGTATGCTAAACTGCTTGAGGAAAGTCTTCAAGGTAATGGGGTCTTCTCAAGGGTCTCCTTAATGGCAGATCAGATCTGTAGGCTGTATTGAAGTATCCTGGGAAACCAGTTATGAACTGTTTCTATGAAAATTATAGCGATGTTTCCATGTTTCCATGGAGGAGAAAACAAACTGAATTCAAAGGAGACTTTACTTTTTTACAATGGTAAATTAAAAAGCTAAGGCAGTGGGTACACAAGCTAGGGAACTCCCTTACAAGGGGAATGAAATAAAGCTTTTCCATGTTCTGCTTTAGATGAACAGCAAGTCACAAGTATAGTCTACAAGAGAGATCCTTTCCAGAGAAAAGCTGGGAAGCTGGGTTCTCCTTGCAGGTGGGACAATTTTGTTGTGAATGTTATTAAGAAGGTCATGATGGATTTACTGCTTTTCCAGTTCATAGAGATCTTTCACTGTCAACTTTTTATTTGGAAATAAATAAAAAGTTGGAAAGTGAAAGAAAAATAGCATATACTCATGTTACCCATTCTGTTTTACAGTTGAGGCAGAAAACAAAGATGCTTTGTATTTTGTTGGACTATTTCGTGTTGCCAACATTGAATTTCTTCCAGAATATCGGCAGAAAGAATCTAGGGAGTTCCTTTCAGTAGCACAGAATGTGCAACAAGTGGTAAGGAAACCCGTACACAATGGCATACCATTTTTATCAGTAAATTTGACAAAATAATTAGCTGGATGCATGCATTAATCAGTTTTGTGTGTTCCAATGAGACAATGAGTAAAGGCCCAGGCTACAATATGTCTTTCTCTGGTTGCTTTGCTGGAGGTTATAATATAAATGAATTTTTTTCCCCCAAAGATGGGGGAAGCCTGTGTGAAATGAATACTTTTGTTGACAGGACAATACCTGCTGCCATTTATCAGTTTTTCTCCAGTCAAGAGAATTTGGAATAGCACAAAGGAAAACAAGAAAGGACTCCTGATCTTCAATAGTGAAAGAATTATATATATGATGAATACATTCATGAGTAGAGCCCACGGCACAATCTGTCCTGTTCCTAAAGTAGATATATCATTTATTTGTTTTCAATGTAGCCTCCTTTTCTCTTTTTTTAACCTGCTCCTGTTATCTTATATTAAATATGCACATGAAAGCTATGGCTAATATCCATCATTCCAGATATCCTCATATCTGTGAATGCATGTACATAGATCAACTTTACCCCCCCCCCCAAAAAAATATCATCGTATGGCAGTATTTCTCAACAAGAAACCTACATTTGGACCTGTGCTCATTGTCTGGTATTATTTTCTCATTGGCAATCCCTGAATTTTTTACAATATACTTAGTATCATGCTACTTAATTGCCCCGTTTGGGCATTTCCCAATGTAATTTGGGAATTCATGTCCATCATGGCAGTCACGGATCTCATCCAGTTTACTGAAGGCCTAATTTACAGTGGAGGTCACAATCCAGATCTGCTTTTTGTTTGGGGGAGAGGGATAACATGATATGGAGTTGAGTAGTAGTTACCATCAACTCCTTTTCATGGTCAAATCACCCCCTGTTAGCACTGGAGTTGTCTGTGGCTACCCTCTCCATTCAAAAGAAGGATCTATTTGATCATTCTGTCTCAGGCATTTGATTGCCTTTCATAATAAACAACTTGGAGTTGTCCCTGAAGCTCTATAGTACAGTTTAACTGAGGCCTTAGTGGCTGCTTGGAATGAGACAGCAACAGCAGCCTTGGATTGGATTGTACCTGTGCAGACTCTGCAGCCTATGTGCACTGATTCTGGAGGGGGCCTGGTTTTCAAGGGAAGTTTGGGTGATTATTTATTTATTTATTAATTAAATTTGTATACCGCCCTACTCCCGAAGGACTCAGGGCGGTGAACAGCCATAAAATAAAACATATAGATACAAAATTTAAAATAGAGATAAAACAAATTAAATAAATTTGGCTGAACCATTTTAAAACCCCAATAGTTTAAAACCAAATTTAAAATTCCCATTTATTTTATTATTATTTTTTTAAATTATTTTTTATTATTCAAATTTCTATACCGCCCTTCTCCTTTCGGACTCAGAGCGGTGAACAGCCAAAATAAAACATTTATACATAAAGTACGATTAAAAATAGATTTAAAATAATTAAATTTGGCCCATAGTTTAAAATTTATCAATTTAAAATCCATATCAAAATTTAAAATCAACCATAAAATCATAAAATCAAGAGAGACCGGCTAACTGAAAGAGATGAGTTTTTAGGGCCCAGCGAAAAGTCCGGAGGTCGGAGATCACTCGTATCTCTGGAGGTAGATTGTTCCAAAGGGTAGGTGCCACCACAGAGAAGGCTCTCCTCCTGGGGGTCACCAGCCGGCATTGTCTAGCCGACGGCACTCTGAGGAGGCCCTCTCTGTGGGAGCGAACTGGCCGGTGGGAGGCTATTGGTGGCAGAAGGCGGTCCCGTAAGTACCCTGGCCCTAAGCCATGGAGCGCTTTAAAGGTGATCACCAACACCTTGAAGTGCACCCGGAAGTCCACCGGAAGCCAATGCAGCTCACGCAGGAGAGGAGTCACATGGGAGCACCCCGTCGCTCCCATAATCCCCCGCGCAGCCGCATTCTGCACCAGTTGGAGCCTCTGGGTGTACCCCAAGGGGAGCCCCATGTAGAGAGCATTACAATAGTCCAGATGAGAGGTGACGAGTGCTTGAGTGACTGTGTGTAGGGAGTCCCGATCCAGAAAGGGGCGCAACTGGCGTATCAGGCGAACCTGATAAAAAGCCCCCCTGGCCACAGCCGTCATATGCCCTTCTAAAGACAGCCGTGCGTCCATGAGGACGCCCAAGTTGTGGGCCCTTTCCGTGGGGGCCAGTGATTCGCCCCCAATAACCAGCAATGGCGTCAGCTGGCTATACCGGGACACAGGCAGCCACAGCCACTCGGTCTTGGAAGGGTTGAGTCGAAGCCTGTTTCTCCCCATCCAGACCCGCACGGCCTCCAGGCACTGGGACATCACTTCCAAGGCATTGTTGGGATGGTCTGGGGTGGAGATGTATTTAAAAAGAGGAAAATTTAGGTCAGGCCAGCTTGATGAGATAGGAACGTCTTAAGCGCGCGACGGAAGGTACGCAGATCCGGGATCCTCCGTATCTCCGGAGGGAGCTCGTTCCAGATAGTAGGTGTCCCCACAGAGAAGACTCTCCCCCTGGGGGCCGCCAGTCGACATTGTTTGGCCGACGGCACCCGGAGGAGACCCTCTCTATGGGAGCATACTGGTCGGTGGGAGGCTATTGGTGGTAGCAGGCGGTCCTGCAAATAACCAGGGTGATGAAATGGCGCTAGAGCACTACTGGAGGAAAACAAAGAGAAAATCCAACTAAATACAGGTAAGAACCCTTTACTATTAAGGAATACCCTGTGTCAAGAAGAGTGACAAAACCTAAGCATTTTCCCACTCTGATTGCCTTCACAGATGAGTTTTCTATGGCTCTAGTTAAGGTGACTTGTTTCCTGGGAAAGGAAGAGCCAAGGAAATTGTTATAGGAGTCTCTTTGAGGACTGTGTAAGTCCCATGGAATTGACTGAGAAATAGCTCTGTGAAGAATCTGAGGTTACTAGAATGCAAACCTTGGGCTTTGAGTTCTGACATTTATATTTTAGATCCATGTTCCTTCTGGTTAATCAAGGCTCAGAGACAACATATGGTTGGATATATGTGGTGGTAAGTGCTTGCTTGAGGAAAGGGATTGTTTTATCACTTTTGAAAAAAACTGGTGATCTACCCTCTTCTCAAGAAGCTATGGATCCAACAGAGTTGGATAATTTCCACCCAGTCTCAAAATTTCTCCTTTGTGGGAAAGTTACTGCAAAACTGGTAAAGTTACAACTGTAGAGGACTCCTCGAGGAAGCAAATTATTTGGATACCTTTTCATTGTGTACCAGATCAGGTTGAGAAAATATCAGTTGCACTTGTCAATGATCTTTTATGGTGTCAGGATATTTGTGATATAACCAACCTGGCCCATCTGGATTTCTTTTGATATGATTAATCATTGTATCATTCTGAACCAGGATAGGGGGTTGGGAATGGAAGGGAGGCATGGTTGTAAGATGTTCTCCTACTTCCTTTGAAAACAGTTCCAGCTGGTATCAGGAAGGTGAAGTTATAGACTCCATGGTATTTCAGAGAGTACTCTACTTTCCCTACTCCTGTTTAACATCTACATGAAACCAATGGGCAAGTGTAGGCCATGGAGTATGGCTTTGAAGGCCAATTGAAAGATTCACTAACAGAGCAATAATTGTAATTATTATTGCTTATTAAAATATGTAATTTCTGGATACTACTTTAGAATTAAACAGTTTGCTGAACTCCTGTGAACTAGACCAAGGACACTCGTGTTTTTATATAAAAAAAGAAAAAATGGGCATGGAAGAAGAAATGCACAGTTGTAAAACACAATAACTCTTGATAAGCTTCCATTTTATTTTTATTGAAAAATTTTTTCAAATACAGATTTTTCTCCCTTCCCCCCCCAACCCCCCTTCACCCTCCCCTCATCCCATGGCTTCTCCAAGATAAAATCCAAATTGATATCACATTATATAATACTTTACCACCCTTTTACACCATCCCCCTATGTGCTAACCATTTCTTTCTAACATTATTATTATATCCCCCCTATACTATACATTTCAAAGCAACATTCAGCTATAAAACTATATAATAAATCCTAATTTAGCATTTATTCAACTCATAATCTACCCATTTCCTCCATCCCCACACATATAACTCTTAATTCAAATCTTTTAAGTATATTAATATCTGAACACAACATTCCTTTTCCTAAACTAAACAATCAGTAACCTAATCTATCTCCACCCACTTTCCTACAGGTCTACCATACATAATATTTTTAATGTCTTTGTTCTTCTGCCCGCACCACTAAAAGATATTTCCATATATAAATAAAATCCTCAAATGAATTTGTAATCCATATAATATCTTCTGTAATGTCTTTCAACTAGATTATTAATTCCATCGCCCATGTTAGGGTAACATCAACTTCTGCTTCCAACAGTGTATTCAGTATCTTCAATTACCATCTGCCCCCATCAATAATAAATGTTTCTGTATATAAAAAACCACCCGAGTGACTTTATATTTATATTCCATGTAGTATCTTCTGTAGTGTCTTTTGTCTAGATTATTAATTCCAACCACCAAGTTAGGGTAACAACCAGATCTTCTGCATGCCCCAATTCCATAGTTCTCTTGCCTTATAACTCAACATATACGTAATCCATTTTTCAAAGAGTCCAAAATAGAAAGTTCCAATCCGCTCAATCAAAGGCCATCTTCCACATCCCAAAAACACCAGCACTGCAGAGATCTGTTATTCTTCTCAAAATAGTATAAGTCTGTAATTTGCCTCAGTTATATTTTCATGTATCAGCCTTCTATAAATCCCGCTTATTATATTTAATCATCTCTTAAGTAACTGGCATTAATCTGTTGGCTAAAAAAGAAAAAAAAATTGTTTAATTTAAAATTTTTTAGTTTTGTAGGACCTGCTTCTTCTTTTCTTAACTTGTTGTGGTTTAGATCTCCATCCTGGTTGCCTTCCTAGGACTTGTATATCAGCTGATTGAGTTACATGCTGGTCTGTAACTTGATAAAACATCAAATCAAGGTCCAAAGCCGCCTTTCTTATAGGTGATCCAGCTATAGCCTCTAAGGGAGAATCCAAAAGCGGCTCATCCAAAAAGCCTTCTGTAACTTGTTGTTTTTCCATTACCTCCATCTCCATCTGCTTATCCTGAGTTTCAATTTCTTGTTCATTTTGCTTTTCTTTATCCCCCTCCTGTGTTCCTGACACTGGTGACATACGTGGAGATGTTGGGCCCATTTTTAAACCTTGTAGTAAAATTCTTCCGCTTTTTCAACAGTATTTAGTTGATATCTTTCTCCTTGATATCTCAATATTATACCAACTGGAGCATCCCACCTAAATGGGATGTTTTGTTTCTTTAGCTCAGTCACCAAAAATCCAAAGTCCTTTCTATCTTTTAACATCTTGGACGGCAGCTCTTTATATATCCAGATCTTCCTTCCATTCATTTCTGGAGTGGAGTTAAAAGACTTTTGCACAATATCATTTCTTATTCCTTTATCAGTAAAGTAAATCACCACATCTCTGGGCAATTGTCTTTGCTTTGCCACCCAAGAATTTACTCTGTAGGCCTTATCAATCTTACAGAATACCTCTTCAGGACTAACCTTTAAAATCACAGCCAGAACATCAGCAGACATCTTTCTCAAGTCCTCTCTGTTATTTTCCTGTATTCCCCTCATTCTGATCGCAAATTCCATAGATCTGAATTGCATCATTGTGACTTCATTTTCAATCCTTTGTTTTATATTATCTGCATTGTAAGTCTTGTGATCAGCTTCCTTTATTTTAGACTCTACTTCTGAGCTATTTTCTTGAATATTTATCAAATCATTTTCAATTCTTTGTATTTTATTATCCAGATTATGAATTTTATAACCAGCTTCCTTCATTTTAGACTCTATTTCTAAGTTGATATCTTTATCCATCTTTATAATTATTTCTGAAAAGCTTTTCAAAGCTGTTACAATATATCATTTCAGGTTATCATACTTTTGTTGTACCAACTCTTTAATTCCCTGTCTAAATTTTTCAAGATTCTGGTTCACAATCTCATCATGTCTTGCATCTCCTCCAAAACAAATTCCTTTAGGTCTTTAAAGCCATTCTTTTGCATCTGCAAGCTTAAAGCTTGTTCATGTGATTTATAAATGGGGGAGCCCCCCCCCCCATAGCTTGGTTGTCTGGCTTTGTCAGTTTTAACACCATCCCGCCACACAAACAGACTCTTTTTAAAGAAAAAGACTTCTCTCCAGACAATATCAATATCAAGTCTCTAAGAAGGAAGAAGCATAAAATAGGAATTTTTCTCTTCACTTCTAGCCAGCGCTATTATTTCAGATACTTTGTAACGTATTAAACTGTTCAAACGGAAGGACTTTCGCTTTCAGTTTTCTTCTCAAGCCTCAGCCAGTCGCCATTTTAAACTTTCTTTTTTTTCCCCCTTTCACTCTTTCTTCACTTTTAAAATCAATCATAGGGTTGTTAAAAATACTTGCAATTTAGAGTCCCAAATCCGGATTTCATCCTGCTTGTTCAGACAGTCTATTAGTTTTTGCTGATTGGGTTGGTCCCATCGTCTGGCTCTGCAAAGCGCAGAGATCCCCGAAGCCCGGAGCAGCGGCGAGCTGGATAGGGAGCACATTCTGCTTCCTCTCCAAGAGTAAAAAAAACTCTGGGGAGTTCGCAGAGGGCTCTACCTGCTCTCACCGGCTCTCTCTCACGTCTCCTCAATGAGACAGAGTTTTTCGAGCCGTCTCTCAGCTGTAGAGGCGGCTCTTATGGGCGACGAGGCTGGCGGTCCTGAAAGACCGTCTGGCGATGACAGAAGCCAAACCGGAAGCTAAGCTTCCATTTTTAACTAGTGAAAAATAATGGAAAATATCTTTATTGTAACTTTACTCTTGGGTTAACTTATTGTCATTCTTTTTTTTCTGAAGTAGTTTTTTATTGTAGAGTATCCTGAAATATTTCTGGAAACTCTTAAATTGTACAAAATTGCAACTGGCTGAAGATGCTATCTGTCTGAGGAAACTACTCTTGGACTAAAATTGAATTAATAACAGATATCCCACTTTGTTTCCATTAAATCATTAACTTTTATGTTATTTTAGGCTGGTACAACTTCATTCAGCTTTCAAAATATAAAGTCACATCTAATTAAAAGTTGGCAGAGGAAGGTGGGAACTTTTATAACCAGGCAAACAAAAGCTGTGATAAATGTTGTTCTTTACTTTCATAAATGAATACAGTAGTTATTATAAGAATATTTAATCATTCTCAGAAATAATCACTAATTCTTGTTACGAATCCACAAATTAGACTGTTCTCAGTAAAATTAAATTGACTTCATGCAGAACACTCAAACAAGTCTGTAAATGTTCTCTTTCAGATGAATCTGGTGTATACCAAATCTGCTTTCTCAAAATTTTACAAGCAATCCATTGTCTCTGATGTCAGGTGGGACATAATTTATAGTTTGTTTTTATCATTTAATGATAAATATCTTCTTATCTTGTTGCAAGTCAATTATCTTGTAAGTCAAGCACAACTTTATAAAATGATTGAGTGCCAGCATAAACAACATTTCCCTTCCATGTTGATACATTGTATATTTCAAAAGCTATTAGCATTTACTTTGAATGATGATAGGAGCTTACATTTTTAAGCTTATCAGTTTTTTATGTAAGCCAATAAGGTTCTGGGCGGATATCACATATAAAGTCCTAAATAGCTTGGCACTCAGATAGATACAGTAGTGGCCAAAATTGTGGAAACCTTTAGGGGAAAAGTGTATTTTTGAGGTTTGATGGTTAATAACACCACTTTTTTTTTGGAGTTTCAAGATAATCATATTCCACTGCTGGAATGGCCTGGGAATAGCCCAGATCTTAACCCAATTGAAAATCTATGGAGCTGACTAAAGAAATTTGTTAGTCAGAAGCGACCCAGCAATAAAACCCAGTTAATAGAAACAATCATTCGATCTTGGTTTCACATTATAACAGTTGCAGAACTGAAAGACTTGGTTCGCTCCATAGGAAGATGTTGTAAGGCCATAATTCATGCTAAAGGTTACCCAACTAAGTATTAACTGACGTGATAATTTTTGTATATCTTGTTTTTTTTCTACGTTTCACTTTTCTTCTTTATACTGTAACTTCTACTAGCAAATCCTTCATAAAAGTTATTGCATTACATTCTTGATTAAATTATCTTTTCACTGATATATAATTTTATGGTACTACTCCCCAAAAAAGTGGTGCTATTAGCTAGTTTTAGAAAATACACTTTTCCCAAAAGGTTTCCACAATTTTGGTCAATACTACATAGCGGGACATTTCTCCTGTCCAGATTTAGCCTGGTATATGCATGCATCCTGAACATATCTAGCCAATTCCCAATTTCTGTGAAATGATAAGAGAGCGGCCTCAAAGTTATAAATGGCAACTCACACAACATGGAATATCTTGCCCATTGAGGTCTGCTGGGCCTCATTTTGCTCCACATTTACAAGGTTTTTTAAACTGTATTGTCCTGAGGATCATTTAGTCCAGAAGGTGGACCCGGGCTGCCTTGGTGGATAATCTTTGTTAATTTAGTAAGTTACTTTTAGTCCAGTGGGGGGTTTCAAAAATTTTTACTACTGGTTCTGTGGGCATGGCTTGGTGGGCATGGCAGGGGAAGGATACTGTAAAATCTCCATTCCGTCCCCAATCCAGGGGAAGGTTACTGCAAAATCCCCATTTCCTCCTGATCAGCTGGGATTTGGGAGGCAGAGAATAGATGGGGCTGGGGCCAGTCAGAATTTTTACTACCAGTTCTCCGAACTACTCAAAATTTCCGCTACCAGTTCTTCAGAACTGGTCAGAACCTGCTGAAACCCACCTCTGTTTTAGTCCTTATTTTCTTTGTTTGGAAATTGCCCCAAGCCCTTAAAAATAGAACTATACAAGCAACCGTATAACTCAATTAAATAAATACAATTTGTTTTGTACTGATTTCAGCAATAACAACAATGGGGGACTTCTTGTCCATTTCTGGATTGTGTTTGTGGTACCACAGGCAAAAGGCCAAATATTTTGTGAAGACTGTGTTGCAGCTATTTTAAGAAATTCAATTCACACAAGCATCACCAATCGAACCTCAGTAGGGAGTCTTCAAGGCCTTGCAGTGGATATGGATTCCATTGTACTCAATGGTTGGTATTTCTAAATCAAGAATTCATATGTACTATTCATTGTATCTGAAGGTTTCCTTTTTCTGAGTGCACAACATTTTATTCAAGGATTGATGGGAACACAAATATGCTTGGAAATCATAAATTCAGGGGAATAAAAATTTCAGCCTGCTTTTTAATTTAAAATGATTATGAACGTTTATGGCTGTTATTCAAAACAGATCTGATAAGTCTCCTAGATACTTAAACATGCGTAACTAAAGGCTCACTTTTGTTTCAAAAATATAGTAACACTGAAAAATGTGCTGCCAAATATTAGCTGCCAAATCTTGAGGGCTTTTGAAGGTTGCAGACATGGAGCTGGTTTTGCATGCATTGCCCACTTCTGTTCTGATGGAAAGATCTGCCCTTTTTCCAGAAATGATAAATGAACAATTTTCTTATGCAAGAACAACTACTCTTCACAGTTATACAAGAATGCCCTTGCTGCAATATATATTCTTTATATCCAGCAACTTTTAAAAAACAGCATGTGTATAAATTCCTGGGAATTTTAAAAATTACTAAGAAATATTTTCTAACTATTATCTTAAAACTTATAAATGAGAAAAGAAAGACAAATCTATTTCAGAACAGAAATACAAATAATTAATTATAGATCTCTTTGACATCAGTACTTGGAAGATTTTAAAATAGATATTAAAGTTTCTAAGCAAATTGAAGACAATGTAATAACTATCATAAATGAACATTCTTTGTCAACAATACATCAGCTTTTGAGTGGATAACTTTCTTAGTTGGTTCTGGGAACGGTGCGTATGTACTATATCTTGATTTCAAGAAAGCATTTTAACATTTAACTGTAACATTCTGATTATCAAACTAGGTAACTGGAAATCCTATCTCAATAGGCCAGTGGAGAAATATCACAATATTGGTCTGGGCCCTGTGATCTTTAATAATTAGAAAAACCAGGTTGCTTAATAAAATTAGATACAGATAGTACCATAAACATGGAAATAATTATGACTGCCTATAGAAATGGGCTAAAAATAAACAAATAGAATTTAACAGAGACAAATGCAAAGTGCTTCACTTTTTAAGAAGAAAGAAAGCAAAGACATTTTTAGAATGCACCAATACCATGGAGTATCAAGGGTGATGGTGGAATAGGTTAGCCATAAGTGAAGGCAATGGGGGTGCCAAAATGGCAAAGAAGCTATTGGCAGTTGAGCTCCTGTTCTCTACATACCAATTAGTTCTTTGACAGTTAGTGGCATAGTGTGGCAACACAGAACGACAAGAGTTGCAGGTCTTCTAGTCCAACCTTCTGCTCAGGCAGAAAACATCTATACCATTTCAGAGAAATGGTTGTCCAATATTTTCTTAACCTTCAGTATTGGAGCATCCACAACTTCTGGAGGCAAGTCGTTCCACTGATTAATTGTTCTAACTATCAGGAAATTTCCCCCTAGTTTTAGGTTGGTTCTCTTTTTGACTGTTTTCCATCCATTGCTTCTTGTCCTGCCTTCAGGTGCTTTGGAGAATAGGTTGACCCCCTCTTATTTGTGGCAGCTCCTTCAATATTGGAACACTGCTATCATGTCACCCCCAGTTCTTCTTTTCATTAAACTAGACATACCCAGTTCCTGCAACTTCATTTGTTTTAGCCTCCAGACCCAGGCTATTAAAAAGTAATATGCTTTTGATTTTAAATATGTTAGAAACGCTTTGTTAACTAAGTCCTACCAAGTGAAATTAAAAGAATCAGGAATGAAACACTGCTATGAAATTATCACAGAAAATAAGGCCAGGACCTGATACAAAATGCAGAATATGGCTTTAGTGCAGTGGTGGAAGCCACTTGCCTTCGCTACCAGTTCAGGAATGGGAGCATGCATGCCCCTTCTGTGTATGCGCAGAGCCTTCTGTGCATGCGCAGAGGGCAAAAACGGGATGTAATGACGTCCTGGCAGGTGGGCGGAGCCTCCCACTGCTGCTACCGGTTCACGTGAGCCAGATAGATCCAGCTGGATTTCACTGCTGCTTTAGTGAGTATAAAAAACTGGAAATTAAATTCCAAATTAACTTGGAAAAAATAATCCTAATCCTAATATAAATTTGGCAGTGAAACCAAAGACAGAATTTATGAGCTTCTCTTTACTGAGTGAGTTCAAATGGCATCATAAATTCTTATGTAATAGTACAAAATACATTTTCTTGGCTTCTCGAGCTCCAAATCTATAACATTATATACACACAGTATGTATTGTCTACTGACTATTTATTGTAAACTTTGCTTAAATATAAGCATATTTATTAGGGTTTTTTTCCCCAATGTAGTTGGGCTTCGATCGGATTACTCTTCAACAACAGGAACAGGTACATTACTGGGTTTTCCTGTCATAAATATTGTTCTTAACCTCATTTTAACTGAGAAGTATATATTACAATTACAATTGAAGTGATTTACTTATGAAAACACTATTTTTCTTTATGGTTGCTTTATTAAAATTTATATTTCTGTAATGCTTTTAATTGTTCAAAGTACTTTATAAAGCATAATCCTTAAAAAGATGCTAGAGATAAATGAGAATTAGGAAATGGTTCATTTCCAAGAGTAAGAATTTTTTTTTTTTTTTTAAAGATGTTTCTGTTCTAGGCTTGATTTTTAAAAAAATATATAGTTTATTTTGTGTGTTAAACCAGGCTATAGTATAAGGAGACAATCAACAGAAACAGTAGCATATGCAATCTGAACAGATATCAGTTCTCCACAGGATATCATTAGAGGAGTTTAATAATTCAGAATGCCTCTGTTTCCACCATTCCTGCTCTCCAACATGCTTTTTCAACAGGCAACTTGACTTTCCTGTTTTTCTTTGAAGATGTTTCACTTCTCAACCAAGAAGCTTCTTCAGCTCTGATTGGATGGTGAGGAATGGAAGAATTTATATTTCTTGCAGACAGCTGGTCATTTGCATTATTTTAGAGCAGGGCTGTCAAACTAGTGGCCCATGGGCCAGATGTGTCACGCATAGGCCATGCCCACCCCAGCTTTGTGAAGGGAAAAATGTTGCGATGTATCACGTGACGGCAACATGGTGCCATGAGTTGGACACCCCACCCGTGTTTTAGAGAGTTGTTGAGGTGCTCTTTGCACAACTGAGGACACAGATAACCCACCAAGGGCCTCAACAAATCTCTAAAAGAATGCAAATGATCAGCTGTCTGCAAGGAATATAAATCTTTCCATTCCCCACCATCCAGTCAGAACTGAAGAAGCTTCTTGGTTGAGAAGCCAAATGTCTTCAAAGAAAAACAAGAAAGTCCAGTTGCCTCTTGAAAAAGTACCTCTGGGACAACCATGACCTGGATGACTGAGAATCTCCACAGATGCCATTCCTGTTATTTAATCTACATGGAACTTACAACTACATGACTGCATGAGGCCAGAATACAGTTTATTTATTTAATTTATAAGGCTGTCCAAATCAAAACAACTCTGAGTGGCTTACACCACATTTAGAAACCACGATAAAAAAAATTCTTAAAAGAAGTAGTAACTGAAGATCAACATTAATCTGCATAAATCTTTCACACCTTTGGAGCACAGTTCCTTTTATGAGCCATGGTGGCACAGTGGTTAGAGTGCAGTACTGCAGGCTACTTCTGCAGAATGCTGGCTGCCTGCAATTTGGCAGTTCGAATTTCACCAGGTTCAAGGTTGACTCAGCCTTCCATCCTTCCGAGGTGGGTAAAATGAGGACAAAATTGTTGGGGGCAATATGCTGACTCTGTAAACAGCTTAGAGAGGGCTATAAAGCACTGTAAAGTGGTATATAAGTCTAAGTGCTATTGCTACTGCTATTATACTGAGGCAGGATATGCATGACAACTAAATTAAAATACAAGTACTCCTTGACTTATGACCACCACTGGGAACAGAATTTAATTGCTAAGCAAGGCAGTTATTAAGTGAGTCACATTTGATTTAATAATCTTTTTTGCTATGGTTGTTAAGCGAATCACTGCAGTTGTTAAATTAATCATGCATTTATTAAGTGAATCCTGCTTCCTCCATTGACTTTGCTTGTGGAAAGCTGAATGGAAAGGTTGCAAATAACAAAATGTGACCTCAGAACACTTGTAATGAAATATTTCTTTTGCCATCTTGATAAGTTTGGCTGTGTCCCACATGGACACTCATATTCATATGAGTATAATTATGTGTACCCCTTTCCTTTCCTTTCCTTTCCTTTCCTTTCCTTTCCTTTCCTTTCCTTTCCTTTCCTTTCCTTTCTTCTTCGTTCCTTTCCTCTCTGTTCCTCCCCTCCTCTCTTTCCCTCTTCTCAAAATCAAAATTGTAAACTTCAAGAATACTTCAATTATTTTTGCAATCAATCTGCTCTTGTGATCACCCAAACTTTTATAAAGAAATGAAATTGTTAATGCAAGTAGTTACAAAATTTTCATTTTTATCAGTGACATCAGAAATTCTATGTAACATGTGAGTTGTACATAGTATTTGTAGTGGAGCAATTGGTAAATGAAATGAGCTTGCACTATTTCTGCAGGTGCAAACTGCATCTATGATCTGCATGCAGATGTCTTGCATCAACATTTTCCATTGGACTTTTTGGAAACATCAGGAAGGATGATCTGTTATTTTAAACTGATTGCGTTGGTTGGCTACTTAATTCGCCTTTCTATAGCATCCATTCGGATTGAAGCGGACAACTGCATTAGTGATTCATTGACCATTTATGACTCCCTAATGCCAATAAAGAGTAAGATATTATATCGGTAAGAAGTCTTTTCTAATAAGGATTTTTTTAAAAAAATATTGCTAAGATTTTTTTAAAAATCTAAAGATATTACATAAAATCTTAGAATTTCTTCACTTTCATATGTTGTATTAATAAATAACTGCCTCCATTGCAAGAAGGCTAAATGTTTTAAAATTCAAAATTCAAAATGTTTTGAAACAATAGTTGGCTTCATACAATATACCCAGATAAAATATGTGTGTGTGTGTGTGTGTATGTATATGTGTGTGTATGTACCTATGTGTATGTATGTATGCATGTGTGTGTATGTGTGTATGTATGTATATCTGTGTGTACGTTCCTTATGTGTATGTATGTATGCGTGCGTGTGTGTGTGTGTATACCATTTAAACGAACTGCAAGTTATCTAGGTTCATATTTCACAGTGGTTCTCAACCTTCTTAATGCCGCGACCCTTTTATACAGTTCCTCATGTTGTGGTGACCCCCAACCAGGGGTGGGTTCTAAATTTTTTAATACCGGTTCTGTGGGTGTGGCTTATTTTGTGGGTGTGGCTTGGATGTCATGTGACTGGGTGGGCGTGGCTAGCTGGTCATGTGACCGGGTGGCCATGGCTATGTGTATAGGGACTACTCAGAGGGCTGAAAAAAGTCATTTCTGACAGGTCCTCGCACTTTTGACTGGTCCTCACACTTATGACCATCCTCACATTTATGCCCGTGCAGCATTCTTAACAACCATGTCACTCATTTCACAACTTCTTCTTTTCACCATGGTGATAAGATAGGGCAAAAAACATAAAGTGTGAGGATAGTCGTAAATTCGAGATCTGGTCAAAAGTGCGAGGATCAGTCAAAAATAACTTTTTCAGCCCTCTGAGTAGTCCATGTGCACAAAAGGACTACCCAGAGGGCTGAAAAAAGTGATTTCTGACAGGTCCTCGCACTTTTGACCAGTCTTCGCACTTATGACTGGTCATCATTTGTGCCCATTGTAGTATTCTTAACAACCGTGTCACTCATTTCACAACTGCTTCTCTTCACCATGGTGACAAGATAGGGCAAAAACGTAAAATGTGAGGACAGTCGTAAGTTCGAGGACTGGTCAAAAGTGTGAGGACCAGTCAAAAATAACTTTTTCAGCCCTCTGAGTAGTCCATATGCATAAAAGGATACAGCAATAGAGAGAGATGAAGGAAGGGAAGGGAAATTAGAGTAGGAGGGAGGGTAAGAGAGGGAGGAAGAGAGGAGGAGAAGGAGAAAGGAAGAGGAAGTAGGGAGGAGAAGAAGAGGGGGAGGAAGAGAAAGTAAGAAGGAAAGAAAAGAGAGGTGGTAGGTTTGAGGAGAAGATTGCTGTACAATAAAAAAGATGAAAGGGAAGAAAGCCAACCCCAAACAAATATCAAGATATTAAGATAAAGAATGAATTGTTAAACTTTAAAGAATAAAAGAGAATAAATATGAATAAATAACATTAGAAACACACAATGTATTTTCTTTGAACAAAGTATTTGGCCAGTTCACAAATTTAAACAGTGTTTAGTCATTTCAATTAAATTTACAATTTCTGTATTTCCTTTTTGCCATATTTATTCCACATCTATTTTTGTAAAAAACCAATATTACCCTTCATCTTCATCTCTAATTTTAATCAAATTCAATTTTTCCCTTCTATTCTATATTATACCCCTTCCCATTGTCATCTATTTTTATATCCATCCTCACATTGGTTAATTATGTAATATTACAGTTTTTTAATATAAATTCAACATTTTAATATAAATCAATTAGTTATATAACTACCTTTTTTGTATATTAATCAATATGAACATGAATATTCCAATTATTTCCATGCAATCCAATTTCTTACAAATCAGTTAATTATATTTACCAATAATAATAAACCAAATAATTTCCCCCATATATTCCTCCAAACCACAACTTAACCATTTCTGCTTTCAACACAATATACAATTAATAGTATCTCAATTATTACAATTCCCTAGTTAAATAGAGCTTTTTTTCTTTTGTGTTTTAAAATCTTGAACTCTCCACTTTTTCCCTAAATTTCCCATTGTTTGCACCTACCTTTTTTGATGAGGAAAAAGAAAAGAAATCTGCCTGCCTAATTTTCCAATGTTGTAGCAACAGCAAAGCCAACAGCCTGCTTTACTTTCAGTTTCGTTTTTCAGAATAGCTAGGGGAAAAAAAATTGCTCCAGCACTCTTTGCAAACAAGCAGCAGAGCCCTGAGCAAAACAGCTGAGAGCAAATCAGCTGAGAGTCGGGAGCCAATCTAATCAAGGGCTAATTAGCCTATGCTGAAGCTCCACGGGCCAATAAAATTACAAAAAAACACCAAACCATTTGTTAAATTGCTGGCTCGCCCGCCCCTCGCCCACCACTATTTATTGGCAATAAATAGTGGTGCGGAGGGGCAGGGCAAGCGGCGGGGCGGAACCGACAGAATCCCACCACTGGCTATAGGGCGGCCCTTTGAAGCCCCGTGGCAAGAATTTAAACAGTTTTTTTTTCCTCTAGCCATCAGCTGGGACTCAGGAGGCAGCAATAGATTGGGAGTGGGCGGGGTAAGCGAATGGCCGGCGATCCAACAAAGCAGAGAGTGAGGGTGAGTGAAGGCGTGGGGGGGGGGCGAGAGAGGGTTTTGGCGACCCCTGTGAAATGGCTGTTCGATCCCCAAAGGGGTCACGACCCCCAGGTTGAGAACCGCTGATATATCACATCAAATGTTAAGCCATGGTAATGAGTGAAACTATTTATTTAATATATTTATTAGATTTTTTAAACCCTGCCTTTATTACTTTGTAAGTAAGTGAAAGCAGGGCACATACTTCCTTTCCGTCCTTGCCTGTAACAACAATCCTGTGAGGTAAATTGGGCTGAGAGAGTGATTTAGAAGCTCTTAAGCCACTATCAAGTCAAGCATATCTCTTATATAATCTGTAATATTTTTTCCAACATATATTGTCCAGAACTATAAGGATTTTATATTTGTTTTTATAAAAAATGTATTTTTTATCAATTAGCACAATTAATTAACCAATTGATTAACCAACAAAGCAGGAGGGAGAATTCTAGGATAGGCGTGAAAGGTATCTAGTAATTTCTATAACATCTATACATTTATAACAAATTGTTTTATTTCAGAATATGTGAACCTTCTAATTCATGGATATCTTTTGTTTCTACAAATAATATGATGTTAGTTATGCTGAAGTCCACACAAGTTAGGCAAATGAAGGAATTTCATGGCTACTTTGAGATGATTCCACAAGAAAGTGCGTATTTTGTCTTTTTTTAAAAAAAAATTGTGGACATGTGGTCATATTACTTAAATTATGTTCTGTCTTTGAAAGTAGTGCATTATTCATGACAATTTATTTTATAATCTCTGGCATACATTTAGTTCCTCTCAACTTTTTTCATGTGTTCTTTTTCTTTTTTTCACTTTCAATAAGTTTTTTTGCTTAAAACCTCAAGGTCTAGTACTTACACCCATAACTCATCAATGTTATGCTACATTATACCACTAGATGGAGGAGTTGTCATATATACCCAGCACCAGAGTAATTTGTCTACTGACATCACTGAAAGCTGATCCATATCAGATCTGATTAGCATTTTAAAACAACATTACTAGGAAAAGAATGGCTTGATAGAGAATACTGGGAACTGAACATAGAAATACTGAAACAGATCAAGAAAACTAACCATGTCATAATAGGGAAAGAGCTTGAATTAAGAGAGTCTTGATCTTTAAACAGTTGTTTATTCAATTGCTTATTGGTAGTTTAATACCAATAAACTAATCCTACCATATTATCTTTAGCAATGGTGATTCTCCAATTTAGCACAGGAAGTCAGATAGCTTTGAGTATATTTTTTCTAGTGTAATGTATTAGTCAATGACTCCTCCATAAGTCTTGTAATTTCTTTATTTTCCTTACTATCATTTACTTTAAAAAAAAAAGTCTGTAGTAGGTATTTAGCAGCTTAAGAGATCTTTTTATTGTGGTTACAAAACTATGTCTTCTATGCTTTTTCATCATGCAGGTAAAGGCAGTGCTTAGTTTTCAAGAGCATTTGTTTAAGATACCGCATTGTATTCGGTCTCTCTCTATCCTTGTGGAACAACTAAGTGTTGTTTGTTGCTATCTTAATTCTCCTACTAGTCTTTTTCTTGCTTTTATTATTTCCAATGTGGCAAGTAAATGCAAAATTAACACTATTGGCGGCATACAAGGAAAACCAGCTGAAGATGTTTTATAGATTTGCCATTTATGGTGGATGTGCCCGGCAGCAAAAAAAATTTGGCCGAACATTAAGAAATGGATAGAACAAATAACAGACCAACAAATAGAAAGAAAACCAGAAACATTTCTGTTAGGAATTTTTACAAGACCATATTCCAAGGAAATAAAATATTTGATGCTACATATCTTAACAGCAGCATGAATAGAATATGCAAAAAACTGGAAACAGGAAAGAACTCCAACTGAGGAAGAATTGATAGATAAGATTTTAGAATGTGCTGAGATGGACAGATTAACAAAAGAAATTAAAGAGAAATAGACTTTTTCTTGCTTTTATTATTTCCATTCTTTGTCATGCTGAAATCTATGTGAAAGAGTAGAAAATGTCTCTTCCTTTTTTGTTTGATTCTTGGTTTTCTAACTGTATATAAACAGGACCATCCTTTTTTCCCCCTTAGAATGTGGAAATACTATATTTGCATTAGGAAGTTCCGGATTTGAAGGGCAAATCATAAGTCCCCATTATCCCAGCTATTACCCTCCAAAATGTATTTGCATGTGGACTTTTCAGGTAATTTTAAATACCATCTTTAAAGGACTTTCCCAACTACACTTCCCCATGTTTGGTGTCTGTTGGAAACAGGACTCTCTGTCTCTTTAGTGAGATGAAGTTGCAAAAGTCTGATCTCTTTGATCTCTGCACAAAGCTTTAATGTCTCTCCCACTCTGGGATTTTTTTGGGGGTCAAATAGCTGTAATGGGAGATGAAAGGTTTCCTTGTGAATGGTGCACCTGTTCTTTAATTCTGCCAGTTTAACTTCTCTCTTTAAGTGTTTAGAACTGGCAGATTAAATTAAGGCAACAAGCTTCTGCCTTAATATATTCTTGGGTTTAAAGTGTCGTCTTGGCTGAAAATCCTCCTGAACCTTTCAGGTATTCCTTCAATATATGGAATGACAAAGTTGCTTCATTTGTTGTTCTCTTCTTTGTCTGTTTTGGAGGAGCTCCTGTTGGCCCTTTTTCTGATGAAGGCCCAGTTGGTATAGCCACAAGTTCAGAGGACTTTCTTGATGTCTTTTAGTTCTTTTTCTTTTCCCTCTTTGTTGGTAGGTAAACATTCAGCCCACTAAAGGACATTGCTATGCAGGGGTGGACTTCAAAATTTTTAGCAAGGGGTTTCTGCCCGGTTTCTGGGTGGGTGTGGCCATGGTGGGCGTGGCCTAGTCAGCCTCCTGTACAACGGTGGGGGGGCATTTTTGCCCTCCCCGGGCTCCGGAGGTTTTCTTCAAGCCTCTGGGAGGGCGAAAACGGCCTCCACAGGCTCTGGAGGCCCTCTGGAGGCCGGAAACAGGCCCTTTCTGGCCTTCCTGAACTTCCGGTAGGCTTGTTTTTCGCCTTTCTCGAGCCTCCGCACATGCCCTGCACTTACCTGCATCCAAAATGGACTGTGTGGGGACTCCTGGGAAAGGCAGGGCGGGGGGGGCAACCAGGAGTGGGATTTGGGGGTTCTCTGACCTGCACAGAATCTTAGCTAGAGGTTCTCTCAAACCCCTTCAAACCCCCAGCAGCCCACCCCTGCTGCTATGTATGGGACTCTGAATAGTCTCATTTTAGAGTCATTTTAAAAAAAGGTCATCGATTTCCTGCAACATCTACTGAAGGACAATGCCATTGACAAGCCACAATACTTGAAACATTGCAACACTGTCATTACATATGTTGCAGGAATATCTGAAAAGTTCAGGAGGATTTTCAACTAACACAACATACACACGCATTTTAAATAAATCAAATAAAATACTCAGACACAAACTGTGCAATGTGATTTATGCAGTACAATGCAGTGAGACGTGCAGATCTCTACATTGGTGAAATAAAACCACCTATTTTCTGTTAATGACACAGTCCTTTCAGCAGTTCCAAGGAGACGCTCATTTGTACTCTGACTCTGGTGACCCTGAAGACACAGATAAACCCCCTAAGGGGCTTCAATGACTCTCAGAGAACTAATGGTCCACCTTCAAAGTTTTAACACCCAGATGATTGCAAGGAATATAAATCTTTCCATTCCCCAGCATTCAGTGAGAACTAAGGATGCTTCTTGGGTGAGAAGTGAAATGTCTTCAAGGGAAAAAAAGTCCAGTTGCCTTTTGAAAAAGTCCCTTTGAGACAACCATGACCTGGATGACTGAGAATCTCCATAGACATTGAGTAGCTCAAAGTCAACCAGTTGGCTTCATGCCAAAGGATGAACTAGAACTCATTATTTCCTGGATTCTATCCTGATGCCTTAATTACACTTGTGGAAATAATATGGAACAATGAAAGTCTGGCAAAATATAAATGGAGAAAGAACATATTCCCCATTACACAGTGGGACTTTTTGTTCCAAACACTTTACAGCTTACGTCTCACTCCCTATTAACTTTCCATTGCAGCCAATGCTAATACATACGTAAAATGATGTTATATATATCTTCTAGCTTATCCTCATTTTATTTTTGTGACATATGAAATAAATTCTGATAAAAAGTAATAGAGGCAAGGGTGAAATTCAGCAGGTTCTGACAGGTTCTGGAGAACCAGTAGCGGAAATTTTGAGTAGTTCGGAGAACTGGCAAATACCACCTCTGGCTGGTCCCAGAGTGGGGTGGGAATGGGGATTTTGCAGTATCCTTTCCCTGGAGTGGGGTGGAAATGGAGATTTTGCAGTATCCTTCCCCTGCCATGCCCGCCACGCCACGCCCATCAAGCCATGCCCATAGAACTGGTAGGAAAAAAAAAATTCACCACTGATTACAGGCCATTATTTCTACACAGTCAAGTTGTCAGAAAATCGATTCCCTTTTGCAAAAAACCCCCAACCCCAAACCTTACTTTCTTATTCTTTCTTAAAACCAGGCACCTCAGACGAACTTTGGTATTGCCCTGATGTTTCATAATTATATGATCAGTGAAAAAAGCATTAAAGGCTGTGAACATGGATGGTGGAAAATTAATGAGCTAATGTAAGTGTGCTCATATACTGTAAGTAGTTTAATGGTGCAGCAATGAAAAGCAATGAAAAACTTTACATATGAAATAATACACGAGTTTTTAATGTTACAGATAGGGAAGGGTCAGTATAGTTGTACCTATGTGATGATTTAGAAAGTTTTTTATTTTAATTATCACTACAATGTACATTATCATATTTTATCAATATTTCACAGATTTCAGGAGGCATAAAGAATATACTGTAACTAAAGATGTGCACATTTGTGTAGAGAAATTTAAATTAGTCTTATGAACCCTTAGAAGCATGTTCTACTGTACAACAAAAGAAACTATTGTATATTAAAACCAATAATTATTCTGATTTAATTATTTATCAAGCAAAGTATTGTTTGTCCCAATAGATAAGCTAAGTAAGACATGTATAAAACACAAAAACACTTTGGGAAAGAGTGCTATGTGAAAGATAAGAATTTGATTCTTATTGTTTTTCTCATCCATACATTAAGACAGGAGGAAAATGAAAGAAAGTGAGTGCAAACTTGGAGTGGAATAGAATTAAAAACTGTCTTCAGTTAGGGAAATACAGAAAAAAGTACTTAATGGTGATTGCAAAGGAGAATCATGGAAACCTTTAAGGAATAAAATAGAGCACTGCGTAGAACAATCTACTGCTAGCTGAAGCTTTTGGCATGTAGACTTAGAAATGTGGTAATGCAAAATTATACTGCAGCTATATTTTACTGTTCACCTCTTCACAAGAGATGGTCTGCATAAGTTTATATAACCCATTTTGCAGGTATTGTGGCTACTACATTGATCATCGAACGATATTCCGTGTGGCAAACTTGGTGGTTAACATGGAATTTCAGTGCAGTTCCAAGCTTTCTGAACATCCCTTTCTTGTGGAATATGGAAGTTACAATATCAGCCAGCGTAAGACTGACTGTAAAAAGTATTCGAAACCCTTACTGGCATACAGATGTTATATACAGCTATTAAGATAATATATTTTCTTAGATTCTATTCAATGGCCAGCATTTATAATCAAGGAAACTTGATATGATAGAGAAAAAAGATGTGTAACTGTATATAGTAGCAAATTATCATTTCAAAAATTAATCTGCTAAAATTGGGATGATTTGATGATCAGGTGGAAGGTTTTGATTCATTTGTGTTAGTCCCAATGGATCTATTGCAATTATAGCTGCACTCCTAGATACTTTAGAAATCTAGCACAGCACGAGAACTAAAACTGTAACATACAGTTGCTATAAAATCAAATTGCATGTTAATAATAAAAATATAGACAATTACTTTCATTTGAGATTATTATTAACTTATATTTTTCTTTAATATCTTTTCATTGACACGCAGACAGATGAGCTGAGGAATGCTACTAGATGTGCTGAGTAATTGGGAAAGGAAATCCCACTGTTGCTCATTTTCATGTGAAGGACCACAATGAGGAAGAAACATCTCTCAGTCTAAAATAGATAGAGGATGACACATAGAAAAAAATGATTTTCATGTCAGTCATGTTCTTTTGCAGAACCCAAGTGACCCCACTTGAGAACGGCCGCTGTAATAATACAGAATTGGTTTTATGATACTTTGAATCTCTATCGGTGTACCCATAGAAAGATATGTAGTTTATTACTGAGTTTAGAATAGAGGATAGAAATGGAGATCAGAAAGCTACAGAAAGAAGAAAATTGGAAATAGATATTACTCAGAGAGACATACTTGACCTACAGACATTTCTTGGATACCTTGGGCTCAGGGGTGGGTTCTACATACCTTTACTACCGGTTCGCATCATGCCCGCACGCCTGCACGCGCTCGCTTTGCTTGTGCACCTACGCGGTCACAGATCAACTTTGATGACGTCCGGGTCAGTGGGCAGAGCCTCCCATCGGTTTTACCACCGGTTCTAATGAACCGGTCTGAACTGGGGGCAACCCACCACTGATTGGGCTTCCCATACCAAAATTCAAGCTCCATATAACTTTTCTTAGTGTATATCAGTGGTGGGTTGCCCCCGGTTTACACTGGTTCTATAGAACCGGTAGTAAAACCGGCAGGAGGCTCTGCCCACCGACCCTGATATCATCAAAATGCTTCTGCGTGTGCGCGGCCCTGCTGTGAACTGGTAGTAAAGGTAAGTAGAACCCACCCCTGGTGTATATGTCATGAGGAAAGGTGAATTACAAATGAATCCTGAAAATAAGTAAGTTTCAGCTTCTACTACCATGTTCTATTATCTCATTTTTACAGCAACTTCAAAGTAATATTACTACAACTTTATCAAAAGGAATATTTAGTAGGACAGTTGCCCCTTTGAAATTAATAACAGTAGTGCTAGAATACTATTTAATCATGTTTATATTTGGGCTTATTTTCTTAAAGCTCCTGCTTGCTTTCTCATAACTTGAACTTTAAAATGAGGACAGGAAATTTATGGAAAACCTGAAATCACAATGTTTCCCCCCCCTCTTTTGCCTTTTAGCTTGTCCACTTGGGTCTTTTGAATGCCACAGTGGGTTATGTATCCAACAAATTCAGCTTTGTGATGGAATCAATGACTGCTTTGATGAAAGTGACGAATTGTTTTGTGGTTAAGTATCTGCAGTATGCAACAACTAAAATATAGTAATAATTCTAGTTGGCTGCTTTTTTTTCTATTGTTTATGTAAGTGATTTGTTGCTTATCTTCCTTTGTTTTTTTTAGACATACCCCCCAAAAATTGTAGTAGCAACTTCTTAACACAGCACCATTCTTTTATCTGTGATGGAATAAATAACTGTAAAGATGGTCAGGATGAATTACATTGCACAGAAAGTGAGTCTCACCCTACAAACAAATACCGAAAATTTCCCGAAAATGTTTTCCCGAAAAGGCCCTGTCTTAAATTTTTTTGAACCCCGAAATAAGTGCTTGGCCTTATTTTCAGGGAAGTCTTATTATTTTGGGGGCATGTGGAGCAAGACGTGGCTCCTCTTGCTATGTTGCCTGATTGCCAGCTCTGTCTCCCTAACCCTAATCAGAGGAAATGGTGGGGACCGACTGCGCATGCATTTAAATATTTTTGGGGAGGGTTTATTTTCAGGGGGCCGCTTATTTTAGTGTATGCGCTCAAAAGTGTGATTGGGCTTATTATCAGGGGATGTCTTATTTTCAGGGAAACAGGTAATATATCTCATTAGGTAGATATATATCTCACAGGTAAATATATCTCATTCTGCATCCTGTAGCAGATTAGAAATTAGATTTGTAGCCAAAGGTATGTATAATTGGGGGCAAGCAAAATGGCAGGCACAACTATAGACTGAAGCCCCATCATTTTCTATGTTCATAGATATTGTACATATGTACAAATGATACACTCTTTAGAGGCCCTTGGTTCAAATCTTGGTTTTGGAATTCACTGGCGGGTTCATTTTGCTTAATCTTTACAACATCCTGATATACAATATTATCCTGATATACACAAGTAATAGTGATTACCTACCACTTTCTAAGAACTAAAGATGTTTTGATCTAGTGAGTTGTGCAAATGTGTGGAAAACGAACAGGAAATAAAAAAGCAGTAAAGTTGGAAGATTAAAAAAAACATTCTAAAGAAAGGAAATGGAAATCATTCCTCTACTGATGCCAAGAAAAAAAATGTGGGCACCACAGCGTTTGGAGTTGTAGAAGGGGCATCTGTAATGGCAATCACTAGCTCCAAAATGAGGAATTTAGGGAATTGAAGTCCACACATCTGAAATTGCTGAGGTTGAGACATGCTTGCTCTGGAGGATTCTTTCACAGATGGTGAAATGGTTTGTTTATTTATATTTGCATGTATACATTTATATCAAGGGTGAGGGGGTTTACCAAAAAAATTCTTGAATGACTGTTTTGACTTCTAGAAACTGAAATTGTTTGAACATTACAGTTATTGCTTTTTAGGCATTCCCTGTACCAGCAATACTTTTAAATGCAACAATGGCATTTGCTTCAGGAAACAAAATGCGAGATGTGATGGAATCCTGGACTGCCTTGATCGAAGTGATGAAAACAATTGTAGTAAGTATATTTGAAGGATATGCACAAGTATATTGATATAATATATATTCATTGCCCTTTTGATCTAGTCCTCATTGTTTTTGTAGAACTTACACCTTTTTTAAAATATTGATTTCTAATATTTAGAATTGGTAGGTTTGCCCATCAAGCAAAGGTTGGAATTGACTACCTTCCTTTTCAATTATTATTTAATTAAGATAAAACAGTTTTTAGCTTTCAACCTCCCAAGAATACTTCATAACTAAATAATGTATTTTGCAAGTCTATACAGACAATAACAGCACTAGGACAGAGATCATCTGGCCCATAATTAAAATTAATCAGATATAAAGATAATTTTCCTTTATAAAATGGTTGCCTGTTCACATAGTAATTTTCTGTACTTTCAAAGCATTCTAGGTGCATAAATTTACTTCCAGCCATATAAACTAGAGCAGTGATTCTCAACATGAGCCATATGATCCCAAGGGAAGCATGCAACATTTCAAGGAGACCACAGTTTAGAGTGGGATGTCCAACCTGGACAGCTTTAAAACTTGTGGACTTCAACTCCCAGAATTGTCCAGCCAGATGAATTGAAATCTACAAGTCTTAAAAGTTGCCTGGTTACCCCTGGTTTATATTAATTAACAGTACAGACGATAAAGTGCCTTTTTTCCAGCTAATAATCACCTAACAACAATAATGATAAATGGGGCTCAGAAGGTAGTGACAAGCAAAAAAAGGCAGAGAATTCCTATATGAGAGTATCCAAATGAAACATAACACATGTATTTTGCTATTATAATATATTATTACGTGCTATTTTTTTTCATGGAACTGCAGCTAGATAGCTGTCTTCTACAAGATCAAACCATTTTCTAAAGTGTATAACTACTTTGCTAGGCAGCAACTTTCTATACAATTCCATTCCTCCCCCCCCCTCCGAATTACTAGTTTTTTAATACATGTGCTCTAGCTATGTTACATAGCTGAAATGTGGCTGGATAATGCTTAGAGTAGAAATCAATGAACTGTTCCATGCATCAGGGTTTACAGGCTGAGATTCCAGAACTGCTTGCTAGGATAAGCCCTTTTGAAACATGCAATTTTTAGTGAGGCAAAGGAGGAATTATTAAACACATAGAGGGTAACAAATAATGTCAATTTAATTTTAACTGATTATAATTTGTAGGAGCTAGGACTATTTGTCCTGGCACCAGGTACTTCCTTGTCCTTTTCCCATCCATCATAGACTCTGTCAAAGGTCAACTCCTGCCATTAGCCTGAAAAATTGGATACCCTTCTGGATATGCTGTGTGGCATTTCCCAAAACAAATAAGATACCAGTTGATTCAGTTTATAAATAAAACAGGTTGCTAGTGCAGTTTTGCTAGGCTAAATTGTTACTTTCTTTCAAAAGGCTGTGGCAGTACTAGATATAACAACACTCACAACCGGATTGTGGGAGGTTCTGAGACCAATGAAGGAGAATGGCCCTGGCAAGCCAGCTTGCATTTTGCTGGAGTTGCTTATTGTGGCGCCTCTGTGATATCAAATGAGTGGCTTCTCTCTGCCGCCCATTGTTTTCAGGGGAACAGGTAAGTAAATAAAATAATTATAATTTTGAGATAATGGTGCATAAGCGCACCAGCATGCCTACTGTCCCTGTCCTAATGTTTTATTTTATTCATATCCTTTTTATGTATTTATAATTATGTTTATGCTTGTATCTGTCATAAAATACATGCTTGATGAAATAAAATAAATAAACATAAAAAATCTTTCTTTAATATCACGTCACACATGTGATCTCTTGTAGAGCACAATGGCTATATTGTTTTTCCCTTAATCTGCAACAATCAGTCATACAATGCAATCATGACATTAAAGGTAAAAGTAAAGGTTCCCCTTGCACATATGTGCTAGTCATTCCTGATTCTAGGAGTCAGTGCTCATCTCCATTTCAAAGCCGAAGAGCCAGCTCTATCCGAAGATGTCTCCATGGTCATGTTGCCGGGATGACTAAATGCCAAAGGCGCACAGAACGCTGTTACCTTCCCACCAAAGGTGGTCCCTTTTTCTACTTGCATTTTTTATGTGCTTTCAAACTGCTAGGTTGGCAGAAGCTGGGACAAGTAATGGAAGCACACCCTGTTACACAGCACTAGGGATTAGTACCGCTGAACTGCCGACCTTTTGATTGACAAGCTCAGCATCTTAGTCACTGAACCATCTGAACCACCGTGTCCCTTCGTGACATTACCAACATCCAATTATAAAACTAGTTTAATAAGCAGTGCATAAGATTGTCCTGTTCTTAGCATTTCAATATCTCCCTTTCCTCGGGCTGTCTATCTCCTGGATGCAAAAATCCAGATAACCACTTGATGAGAACAAATATAGAAAATGTTAACTACTTGTGGCCATCTAGTGGTTGTACAGATTTTTGAAGCCTGGATGTAGGAGTCTTAACTCTTCCACGTTAGCCTGTAAGTTCTCTGTGGCTCATGGGTTATTCAGCTTTTTTAGTGCAAATAGAAGGATGCCCCCCCCCCCAATGTGCCAGATTCACTGTCACAAGGAAATGGCAGAGACTTAAAAAAAGACAAGGGCATCAAGAACCACAACTGAATGCAGTCATGTATATTAACCCTAAAAGTTTTTCAGAAGCCAATGCAGAGTCTGCAGGTTTGTGTAGCTAATAAATCAATATATGACCACTTTTTTTCCAATGTGAAAAATACAAATGAGTACAGTAACATTGTACACATGTATACATTCAAGTGTATTCTTCCATACATTCAAATCCATGCACAGACAGATAACATGATATAGGCCTGCACACAAATTTTTCCCACATATCAATATTTGTCAGAGGCCTTTGATGTTTTCATATTTTCTTGCTCATTTACTAAAGCAAACGTCAAATTTCAAGAAGTTTTTGTTCCTGCAAAGCTAAGGACTACAGAGCCTTGTCTATATAGGAGTCAGTCAGGCTGTGTTCTGAAAGGACTCCATTATCACAGGCCGTAGTATAAAAGGACCTTCTAAAGAATCAGCAGGGTAAGTCCATTGTTATTTGGGAAGACAAATAGTATCTTGGGTACAGACCAAATGCTTCCCCAAAGATTCCAAGTGGAAGTTGCAACTCCTAATTACTTCTCTAATTGTTTAGTTACTTAGAAACAGGAAAGAGCTCTTCAACTTGTCCAAGTCCCAATTTCTCTGTTTCTTTTGTCTTAGAAAGTCCCCCCCTTTTTTCCCCTGTTCCTACTTCCTCTCCCCTCAGTTGCAGTTTTTTCTGAAGGAGATGGATATGGATTGAAAGCTCTCCAAAAATTGTATTGTACTCTTAGTATTTCAATTAACTTATGTATCAGTTTTGGTCCAACAGTAGTCATTTAAAGTGGAATAGATCTCTATCTCTCTACTACCTGCTTGTCTTGCTCAAACAATTCATTTCATTTAAATTATTTCTCGGGTTGCTTCTGCAACTCTGGGTGGCTAAGAATAACTAAAAACATAACTATAAGATAAAACTAACCACAATACTGTAATGTTAATACAATGCAGCTGAGATTCTCAAGAAGTTTACATTCTTCAACTACACAGTGGTACAATTGGCTCACTTGGCGTGCTAGTTCAATGCCTGAGGGAATAACCATATTTTCCAATCTTTTCAGAACACTGACAGGGTTGAGGCCCTCCAGATCTCAGGGGGTTGATGTTCTGTAGGGCAGGCACAGATATTGAAGCTAATTCCATTCCTTTTAGCTGTTACACAGCCCATTTTTACAGGAAATATGGATTTAGAATTTTTCTGGAATAATGTTAGTCTAGAATAATGCTAAACTATATTCCAAGGAATAAAGCACAACCATTGAAAACTCTTGTGCAAAACCACATTTAGCCACTTGCCTCCACTTTAGTTAAAGAGAGAGACAGGTGATTTTTCCCCCATAGACCCTTAAGTGAAGAAAAAGAAACAAGACCTGTTCTTAACTTATTCAGAATACCATACAGACATAATAATACTATTTTTCATTTGCTAGCATTGTATCTGTGATAAATAGAGATCACTAATGGGGAACAGCACTAATATGTAGGTATACATTTCTGTATAGTTCAAGCACTTAATGATAACCCTTTATCTTGGTCGCATGTCATAGATATTTGAATGTTCAGTCATATATATTTCAATGTTCAGTCATATATATTTGAATGTTCTGTTTTCGTTTAGGTTATCAGATCCTAGAATTTGGACGGCTCACTTGGGAATGCACAGAAAAGGAAAAGCCAAATTTGTGTCCACTTTGAAGAGAATCATTGTCCATGAATATTATAACAGTCAAAATTATGATTATGACATTGCTCTGCTACAATTAAGCACCCCATGGCTTGAGACAATGAGATGGTCAGTTGGGCCAATATGCTTACCTCCCACCATACACAATGTGCACCCTGGAGAAAAATGCTGGGTAACAGGCTGGGGACAGAAGCAGGAAACAAGTAAGCCCACTGCATTGTATCATTCATTCATCTGTTGCCAATAAACAAAGGACTTATGTAAAAATAAGTAGTCAGCAACATTAGAAAGAAGTGGTGCTTTCATGCTTAGAATGATGGTAGCAGGGTCAGAGCATTATATGGCGAGTTCTGCCCTTTTTGTCTGTATTACAACAATACATAGAACAAAAGGAGGAAGGCTTGATGCTGGTTTTACCATTCTAACCGTCTCCTCCTTCCCTTTGGAAACCCTTGGAAGCGCTTAAAATATGTTATAAATAAAATTGCTTAAATTTTTTAAAAAATATTTATTATTAAAAAGAGGGAATCTAGATGAGCTTAAACAATTATTTCTGGGTTTTTTTAATTGGCCAAAACAGCAAATACCAAAATCAGTGTTCAGTTTCATTGTATCCATGTTAAGGATATAAATTTTATTCATTTTATTGCCCACTTTATAGAACGGCAATTGGTTTATTATATAATTTGCAACAGCATTGTTTTAAGATTATATCTTGATATCTTGATATCCATATCCTGATATATATTTATCTATTTATATTTCATATTTCTTAACCACCAGAAACCATATTTCTTCCTCAAATGTATTTGTATAGCTTATGTCAGTAGTGGTATTCAGCTGGTTCTAACCAGTTCGGGCTCCTCCCACCCACCCGGACGTTATCACGGCCCGTTTTTTACGCTCTGCGCATACGCAGAGGCGCGCTCACATTTGCAAACTGGTAGCGAAGATAAGTGAATACCATCACTGGCTTATGTGTCTGAACATATATATGATAAATCATTAGATCAAAGTATACATTTTCTTGATTTCTCAATTCACTTAATCATAAAAAGCTTTTGTACACAAGTTTCCCATTTTGTACAGTAAATTTCTCAAGAAACTATTTTTAACAGATCTTTCTGGTAAGTTCTCTATTCTCCAGTGCAGCATTTTTAATCTAAACTTTCATCTCTGAATCTATGCCATTTGGAACGAGCTCCCCCTGGAGATACGGATGATCCCGGATTTACGCACTTTCTGCCGTGCCCTCAAGACCTTTTTATTTCAACAGGCTGGCCTGGCCTAAATTGTTAATTTTAAATTTGTTTTAAAATTTAATGTGCTTTTACATTGTTTTTTAAATTTTGTATTATGTGTGTTTTATCCTTTGGCTGTTCATCGCCCTGAGTCCTTCAGGAGTAGGGCGGTATATAAATCCAAATAAAGTAAAGTAAAGTAAAAGTATGCAATTTCCAGAAAAAATATTCTTGTTCAAATGCATTTCTTATTTTTAAAAAAGAAATTGGGGAGGGCAAGCAGATTTAAAACCAAAGTAAGACATGCAATGTGCTTGCAAACTCTGTTCAGTATTATCTGCTGTAAAGGCATCCGATTCTTTCATAATTAATATATACAGATCTCATCTAATATCAGTGATTCCAAGAATCTGTTCTCTCCTTGGAAATTCAAGCGTAAAAATTTAATAAATACCATTTTAAAGATTCTTTGTAAATTGACATACTAAGGGAAAAATCATAAAACATTTACAATAATCTAACATCCTAAACATTCTGACCAAATAAATTTGTCAAGAAATATTGATGATGCTAAGTTAGGAATATCTTTGTAGTCTAAGGACTAGCAACAGGTTAATCACAGGTGAACATGTTCATGTGTACCGTGATTCCCTGAAAATAAGACCCTGTCTTATATTTTTTTGAACCCCGAAATAAGTGCTTGGCTTTATTTTCAGGAAGGTCTTATTATTTTGGAGTGCGTGGAGCAAGATGGGGCTCTTTTTGCTATCTTACCTGATTTCCAGCTCTGTGTTTAAATATTTTCGGGGAGGGTTTATTTTTGGGGGGAGGCTTATTTTAGTGCATGCGCTCAAAAGCCTTATTGGGCTTATTATCAAAGGATGTCTTATTTTTGGGGAAACAGAGTATCATATACTGGTACAAATACACACACAGATGCACATATACCACTCAGCAATTCTTAAATATGATCAGCAGTAGCCAAAATTAAAACTTATTTTAAAGATCGTTTTTAATGGCCAAAATCTTACAGGATGATCAAATCTCAGCCTTCTCAGTATTCTTAAGAGGTCTTCATTTAAAATTCCTGGCAAGTCTGTGAAACTATCCTAACTTTTATAATTATTTTATAATTATTCTATAATATCAAAAAGCGTAGTGCATTGGAAATTTTACCAAATTTGGCAAACTTGTACAATTCCAAACAAAGGAAACTGGTTACCTGCAACACTGAACAGTAGTGTTGGAACACCTGGAACATTTGCCAGCTTCTTTACATATGACATGGATATAGTTTACTTTTTCACAAACCACAACAACTTGGGCCAACCAAATGTTTTAATTTAAGCAGTATCTGAAATCTGCAAAGCAGAAAGCTATTTTGAAAATTGCACAATAGATTCATCATCATTAGTAATGTGAATAGTCTAGACTGCCTTATAATTATATATATATAACCTGGTCTTCTAATTCATTTTCAATTACGCTATCTACCATACTCTCTTTTTTTTTCAACAGGGGGTTATTGCGTAGATTAATGAAATAATGTAACTATCTTAGAATGCTTCTCAAACTGTGGTCTGGGGATCTCCAGGAGTCTTGAGACATTTTAAGGGATTTACAAAGTTAAAATAAATAAATATTTTCAAATGTCTCAAATTTTATTTCTAATACATTTAACTATCAATAGATATAACATACATAAACCAAAGTTCTTTGAGTGTCCTCAATCATTTTTAAGAAGATAAAGAGAATCTGAACCAAAGTGATTGAGAATTATTAGTCTAAAGTATGTCATGTTATTAATTTTTTGGAACATAGCTCTTTGGACTTCAAAGGATGTTATTCTTAGGAAACAGTAAGCTAATAGCTAAATTCCAAGCATACATAAAATAAATAATTTTATTCATCACTTGTACTGTGTGTTTTTAAAATAGCAATAGCACTTAGACTTATATACCGCTTCATAGTGCTTTACAGCCTTCTCTAAGTGGTTTACAGAATCAGCCTATTCCCCCAACAATTTTACTGACCTTGGTAGGAGGAAAGGCTGATTCAACCTTGAATCAGTCAGAATCGAACTCCCGGCAGTGGGCAGAATCAGCCTGCAATACTGCATCTTAACCACTGTGCCACCATTGCTCTTTAAATAATTCACTGCTCTGGTATTTTATATTTTGAGACACATTTTATATGCTGTTCCTGTGAATTATGCACTATGCTGCATTTTGCTGTGCCATACAAAATACACAAATACATATGAAACAGTTTGTTGGTTCATGAAAATGGTACTATATAGTAAAACGAGATACTGGAAATGTATTTTCTTGCTTTATTATGCTTTTCCTCGATCCAGATGATGACACACCAGCAATTTTACAGAAAGCAGAGGTGGAAATTGTGGATCAAACAGTTTGTCATTCAACATATGGGCTTATCACAAGTCGCATGCTGTGTGCTGGAATAATGTCTGGAAAAAGGGATAGCTGCAAAGTAAGGAGTTTACTTTTTTGCCATGCATACTTGCTACCCCTCCCAAATAATCATAGATTTGGAACCACTTAGAATTCATGGTTATAGGTTAGACTGGGAAGCTGGAAAAAAATCTGGAAAAAGGCTGGGGAAAAATCACTTCATTACTGTTGCCAAGAAAATGACATTTCCATAAAATAATGAGAGGTGAACTCATGAAATATTAATTTGAAAAATAAGAACATTTAGTCTGGTTTTTTTTCCGCTTGTTTTTCTCTTCTCTTCTCTTCTCTTCTCTTCTCTTCTCTTCTCTTCTCTTCTCTTCTCTTCTCTTCTACTCTACTCTACTCTACTCTACTCTACTCTACTCTACTCTACTCTACTCTACTCTACTCTACTCTACTCTGTGTGTGTGTGTTGTGTCATAATGAACATTTGCTCAGAATGCTTGGGGCTACAACTTCCAGAATGAATGAACCCAGCCAAGATGAACTTAATGACTCTAATAAAATAATAAGTTATTCAAGGAATATCTAGATCATATTTCCTACTGAGTAATTTTCATATTGGAGGAGGAAATGGTTCCATAATCTGTGATAAACAATATTGTTTCACATTATAGATAAACTCAATTGCCATAGAAATAAAATTCAAATATAAATAATTAATAATTGATAGAAAAATTATAGATTAATTTATAGTCCAATCTATGACATTTGATTTTTTTTCTTGTCAATTAAACTTTTTTCCATCATTAGTTGTACCAATAATCTTATCACTAAAATAATACCATTGTGCATACTATCTAGAGAAACATTGCTCTCTAAACATTGTTAACTTTTAAAAATAATCTCTTTTTAGGGAGACTCTGGAGGACCTCTATCATGTCGAAATAAAGGTGACGGAAAATGGTTTTTGATGGGAATTGTTAGTTGGGGCTACGGTTGCGGAAGACCCAATTTCCCAGGAGTGTATACAAGAGTGTCAAAGTTTGCTACATGGATACAAAAATACATGCCTTCAGTTTTTAGCTAGTAGTGATTATATTCCAAAAGCTATGAAACATTGTTATTAAAACCATATTTAATAAATTATTATGTTTTAATTGCATTGTGAATTTAATCTTCATGACTAGAAAACCATGTGTCTTTGTGAAATACATATTATATCATTCATCTTAAAACATATATTTTGTTAACATACTGCAATATTCAGAGGCAGAATTGGTACAATCTTAGCTTCCTCCCTCCCTCCTTGCCTTTCCAGCATGCATTAGACTGAGCTGTCTTTGAGGAACTTACTTGAACGTCCCTTCTCTGTGCGCTACTGGAGAATGTGATGGTCACATTATTAGTCAGGATAACCAATTATTCAATCAGTAGAACTGGGCCTATTGTAGGGTTGCTGTGTTGGATACAGTTCAGTTCCAGCTCCCATTCAAAATGACTGTCCCCACCTAAAAGTTATATATAGTGTGATACAGTACTATGATATAGCAGACACTGCCTCACCAATCATGATCTACCTTTTAGATATCATGAAGTGGACAAGATATGGGCACTTCATTTTGCACCAATTACAGTTTCTAGATAGGTAATGTCATATAGAACACATTGAAGAAGCAACCTAGAACTAGGAATTTGATTTCCAGGTTTTTATACTCACTAAAGCCACATTCTGCATTTTGTACCAAAGGAAATCAGGTCCTGGCCTTATTTTCTGTGATAGTTTCATAGCAGTGTTTCATTCCCAATTCCTTTAATTTCACTTGGTAGGATTTAGTTTCTAAAGCGTTTCTAACATATTTAAAACCAAAATCATATTACTGTTTAATAGCCTGGGTGTGGAGGCTATAACATATGAAGAACAGTTGCAGGAACTGGGTATATCCAGTTCAATGAAAAGAAGAACTAAGGGTGTCATGATAGCAATGTTCCAATATCTCAAGGGTTGCCACAAAGAAGAGGGAGTCAATCTATTCTCCAAAGCACCTGAAGGCAGGACAAGAAGCAATGGGTGGAAACTAATCAAGGAGAGAAGCAACTTAGAACTAAGGAAGAATTTCCTGATAGTTAGAACAATTAATCAGTGGAACAATTTGCCTCCAGAAATTGTGAATGCTCCAACAAAGGAAGTTTTTAAGAAGAGATTGGACAACCATTTGTCTGAAATGGTATAGGGTCTTCTGCCTGAGCAGAGGGTTGGACTAGAAGACATCCAAGGTCCCTTCCAAATCTGTTCTGTTCTGATTCTAGTAACTTACCAGAAAAAACCATTTTGTAACATTTGACAGACAGCTTCAAGACCGAAAAAATGGTAGTCATAGGTCTGTTAACTTGAAAAAGCAGGAGTGAACAGCCCAGAATTTGAACCTGAAGGTGAACATGCATATACATTTCATTAGATGTGCTACTTGCAGAATTATTTCTATAGTTTTCTAGAAGAAGTCTGTGTTAAAGGGATAATGCCAAGGTTTCCAAAATTAAAGTGGTTTTATTGTTGGACCTTTGTGATAAGACCACCTGAACACTTGTGATGAAAAAAATAACACCATATTATGTTGATGGGATTAGAAGCAAAGTGATTTATGGGTACAAATAAAATATTCTAGTGATACATCTATAAACAAGTAAATTTACTTAGGATAGTGAAAGTAACCTAGTATTTGGCATTAAGAACTGATATACATGTATCAAGAAGATTATGTTATTCACCTTTTGTGCATAAAACTAAGTTTCCCATTACATTTATTAGATAACAGAGTAATTATTAAGTGATCTATATTGGGTAAAATGGGAAACATTGTTAATGACATCAGGGACTATTGATTAATTGATGGTGTTATTACTGAAATAATTACAATAATTTATCACCAGTTCCCATTTTCGAATGACAAATTTGATTTATATGGGAACTCAGTGATTTCAAAGTCTGCCTTGAATCTACATTGGGTAGATTTCAGTGACAAATTGTTGAAACGGATACCACCTACCACAAATTCAAAGCATATTTTGGAATGTTAAGTATGCATTTTGATGCAAATTTTAAAAGTAAATGCACAATTGAAACCAGAGATCTTTCTTTTGGATTTAATGGGTAAACCAATAGATACATCTTATGGAACATTGTTTTTATATGTGACAAGAGCAGCAAGACTTTTATATGCCAAAGCTGGAAGGACATACAAATATTTACATTAGAAGAATGGATGAAGCTGAAGGAATTGGCAGAAATGGTAAAATGGGCAGCCTTGATGAAATTTTATTTTTACTTAGAAACCATTTTTGGACTTCTTGCAAAAAACTGAAAGAAATGAAAAATCAGTTTTGAGATATAATGATTAGAGTTATATTATACAGCTTGATGTATTATTTACTTGTACCAAAGAAAGTGACAAGTAACTCTCCTTCCTTCCTTCCTTCCTTCCTTCCTTCCTTCCTTCCTCTTTTACTTTTTTCTGAGTTTTTCTTTTTTCAATTCTTGTTTTCTGTTTCTTTATCTTTTAACTGTAATTTTTTTGAAAATCAATAAAGTTAATAAAAATCATTTTCAAAAATAGATACAACTGCTACCCTTACAGTTACAGATGTAGTGAAACCATTAATTCTGGATTCATATAGTTGAATGACATGTATATTTAACTGATTGCCCCTTCTCTTTCCTCTGCCATCTGTTACATGAAGAAACTAACATAGATCAATGCAGTACATTCAGATCTGTTGATCTTAAGTACAAAGGGGTTGAGTGAATCACATAGTTATGTTTCAGTAATAATAGTAATAAAGAGCAGAGATTCTTCATATGCTGTTGCCACTGGCCTCTGTTCAACACTTAGTAATATTCATGCCTCTGTTATATTCATCTAGATCTCTGCCTGCTGCCACTGCAAGTTGTGTTGCTAATAATTAACCCGGGCCTTACAATGCATTTGTAGGTGCCTTCTTCCTATTCTTGAATGGTCATGGTCTACGGTGTATCTGCCATCCAGGTCCCCATAATTTTCTAATCCAGATGTGATTTTTATAAGGTGAACTGGAATGCAATTTGCCTTCATTCGCGAATGCAGTTTCCTTTATTGTTGCCCATAATCTTATTCTATTCTAAATGAAAAGCAGTGGTTGTAGTTAGTAGCACCAAGTGTGAGCCCTTATGCTGTGAATTTGTTCATATAAACAGTTATGTCAAGCACTGGACAGTGAGTCATCACAAGAAAAATACTTATGTTGCCTAGAGCATCTTCCGTTTCTATTTAGCATCTCAGGAACAAGTCAGTGGATCATATCTGCAGAATTCCTTATTTAAAAAAAAAACAAATACATGATATCCAGAATTTTCTAGATGTTCTTCCTATCCTTTGGATAAGAATATAAATACATGTGTTTATGCTCAGATAATAAATATTTTACTTAATAGCAATAGCACTTAGACTTATATACTGCTTCATAGTGCTTTACAGCCCTCTCTAAGCAGTTTACAGAGCCAGCATATTGTCCCCAACAATCTGGGTCCTCATTTTACCAACCTCGGAACGATTTGCTTTATTAGAACCAGTCTGGTCTTGTGGTTAAGGCACTAACCACTAGAAAGCAGAAGACCACGAGTTCAAATCCTGCCTTAGCCATGAAAAACAGCTGGGTGACTTTGGGTCAGTCACTTTCAGACCAACCCACTACACAAGGTTGTTGTGGGAAAATAAGAGGAAGAAGGTGTGTTGGAACTGTTTGCTGCCTTGAATTGTTTATAAAAATAGTAAGGTGGGAAATAAATAAACAAACAAATTAATTAATTAATTTTATGGAAATATATACCACTAAAAGGATTTTCTTCCCAAACTAGTACTATTTTAGGCATTAAACTAGCTAAAAAGTGTTATGATAAGAAAAGAAAAAAAATCAAGAGGTTTAGTTTGAAAAAAAATAAGCATTATTTACAGTATTTACAAAAGATCTATTGATACATAAGCCATCTTACATATGGATAGAGTAGTGTTGTCTGAATAGCTGAGGGTTTCTCTCACAGAAGCATTTTTATGTTTCTCCTGATTGTATCTAGTCAACTGGAAAGGAAAGAGTTACACTATTGTACACCTAGTGTATTTTCTTTCCTACCACCTAACCTCTTTGTGGATATTCAGACAGATTTTTAGTCACAGAGCAAAGAAAAATCAAGGTGTACAGCTATTATTTTTTGCTCATCTTTAACTACTCCAAGTTCCTTCAGGATTCAGATATAAAGAACTACACAGGACAAACCAACAAAATATAAAAATGAAAATTAACCCTTCTAGGCTCTCCTCTATGATATACAGCATACCAACTCCCAGTGGCTCACACTTTCATGCTGGATTGGTAAGATACTGCAATTATTCTTCCTACCATTCATATTTGCATTTTTTAAGCTCATAATTGTACAAAATTAAGCTATGTATTTGCATTCTTCCAGTAATATAACAATAAATGTAGAATAAAATTTTAAAAAGGACAGCATACCTTGCTTTATTTGAATGGCTTTTCTTTCTTTTGTACTTTCAGCAAAATATTTCTCCTCCTCAGATCCAGGATTCAGAAAATATTATATACCTAAAACGTCTGGGCAAAAACTTGACTATGCAGTTCTGGAAAAAATGCCTTTTAAAAATATTGCCTACAACTGCCTTGGTTATCATTTTTTTGGTTATGTACTATATTTTATGTAAGTGCATGCTTTTCGATGAAAAACTGAATTGATTTCCAATAATGCATAACATTCTGACCCTTACAACAATGTCAGAATATTTGTTTTTGCAAGCATCAGAAAAATATTATTAACATTTCTCTTATTAGAGAAATCCAGCAGAATCAATACCACTTTCCTTTAATAGTTCCATCTTAACCCCCTATTTTTACATTATTGGGGACCTAATAGAGTGGCAAGCAGAACAAACAGTCTAAGTAATTAAATATTGATGATTTGCTATGAATTTCCCACAACTTTTTCTAATCTTTCCAATTTAAACAAAACTAAATATATTTAGAAAGCTCGCTTTAACACAGTGAATGTAAGAAAACACCTTTATCACAATACTTCACTGCTGCAAAATATTATCCATATTTTAATCTCAAGTACATTCGTTGACAATTTTCCTCATTATCTCTTTTGAACATTTTGATTGTTTACCAATATGGGATCCTATGCTTTCAGCTCCAGCTTTCTCTTACTTCTACATTGGTGGAAGTGTGGAAATCCCTAACCTGACTTATACAAATGACCTCATGAATCCCAAGTCTCATGCATTTATATTGCAAGCTGAAGCACTACAGAATTATGTAAGTTTGGTTATGGAAAATATAAAAGAATTTTATTTTGTTTTGCAGTTCATTTAATAGCTTTATTTGTACTGTATTTATAATTTTTTTAAAAAATGTTTAAAAGCAAATATTAATATATGTGATAAATCTAAAGCATAAGAATACTAGTTTGTTGGAAATTGAAGGCTATTATTTATGAAACTTTAAATGTAGCATTAAATATAGAAGGAGGACTCCACCAGACAGCAAATTTTGGGCAAAAAGTGGGCCACTAGTTCTATTTTTATTAGTAGGCAAGGATGTCACTTTGTCTGAAGTGTCTGAAATGGCAACATATTTCTAACCATTACAAGGCTGGTATTATACAATATAAACTTCTTTTTTTCTTACAACCTGACACCCTTTCCACACTTTCTATTATTTGCTATCATAGAATAATTCTGGTGAATGGACTGTAATCTATGTAATTTTAGATAGATTTAATATATGTTGTTGTAAGTAGTGTAACAGGTTAATGCAGACAATATTCTACAAAGAAACTTCACTCTAACGAGTGAAAACTGAGAGTTTTCAGAGAGTTTAAACAGAGTTTAAAACTCTCTGCATATAGTATTAAAATAAACCACAATTGTAGCTCCTTCTTTGTATTAAAACTTTTATTCATATTGTAAATTTGTTTGTGGAGTTTTGTATTATGATTTTATTTTTACAATAAAAACAGACACATACACACAAACACACACTCATTTTAATTTCTTCTTCAGTATAATAATATTGGCTTTCTTGCTCTTTCTCCCAATTTAATTTTATTAGTGAGATCAATATACTTTTCTGGCCTTTTGTTAACAGAAAAAGCTTTGAAAGCACAAAGCACCTTTCTGTTAGTTTGCATTTCCCAGATGAATTGGTTGTGAGTCTCAAAGCTGTTTTGTACATGGATAACACAGGATCCCTTTGAAAGAATCAGTAGCTGAAATTTATACTGATTGTTTTATTTAGTCATGTCTACTTGGTAAAGAAACAGCTTTACACCACCTTATAAAAGATACCACTTTAATAGAAATTTATGTCGAATCATCTGTGATTCTGTGTCTAATCCACTAATTTTGGGGGCGGGAGCCTGGAAATAAACAATAGAAATGATACAATTATACAGGACTTAATAATTTTTCCTTGTTCTTTATATTTAGCTTTCTAATTCTTTAACTGTCAGTTTGCAGAAATATACGGGTCTTCTGCTATAAGCAATTATTACTTGAAATCTGTTATTGCTGCATTCAGGTAAATCATGCTTAAATTATGTAACTTTATAAATAATATAATATTTTATAAATAAAATATTGTCAGCCATGTCTACTTATTTTCTACTCATGTTCTCAGGGAAGTAATCATGTTCAATAGAGTAGATACCATCAGAAAGGGATTTAATTCTGATTAGACTTTGCCAAAATTTATAATTAGTAGGATATCTTTAAATATACAAACTTTTAAGATTAAGTGAAGAAAATGCTACATTGATAAAAATGATAAATATTAAAATAGTGCAAATAATTCAGATTAAATGATGAAGTTTTTGTAAGGATTTGCAGCTCTGAATCTCCTCTCAAATCTCCTTGCTTATTTTACCAAATATGATTATCTTAATGGTTCGTTGCTTAGTGACTATTTGAAGTTATAAAGAACCTGCCAATGTATTTACAACCCAGTTTAGAATTATGTCAATGGCAACACCCTGCAGTCAATTAACTGCAATTTACAATATTTTTTGCTGGTTTCTGGTCTTCGGGCCAGTTTGTGGAAAAGGTTGCCCCAAGTGAATGGACTTATTTTATGACCACTGCATTCACTGTATGACTGTAGTGTTTGCTTAATGACCACCGCAATAAAAGATTATAAAATCAGGTTGGTCATATGGGTGCCTTGACTTATAATCATCATGATATATGATGAAAATTCCATATTCCATTATGGTAATAATTTGAGGACTATCTGTATGCTTATATTAATTAATTTATTTTTAATATATATTTTTTATTTGTCAAGTACATATTAGATAATATATATAAGTATAAGCATGAATTGAATACATAAAATGAATACAATTAAAGGGAACATTAGGACAGGGATAGTAGGCATGCTCTTATGCAAGCCTCTTTCAGACCTCTTAGGAATGGGGTGAAGTCAACAGTAGATAAATAAATAAATAAACTATATTTATTTCTCCTGATTATGTCTACTTGTTGATATACTCCTCTATGAGGCCATTTAGAAACCAATTGCAGTCCTCTGACCTCTACCAAAGGGCACAGATGCATGTTCAAATAAAATCTGATTGTATGTTCAAAACAAAGTTTATTTTGTTATCTTCTTCCAGTGATGGAAAAAGTGGTGCTCGAGCATATTATTGGAGCACATTTTGGGCCCCCACAAATGTTGTTCTTCCTATCAAAAACCTATCCTCAGCATATCAGAAGCAAATCAGTTTTAAAAAAATACCTGCAATAGCTAATAACACTGCTGAAACATTTCCGTTAGAAGAAGACTTTGATATAATTACTATGGAGCTTTTTGGTAAGGTGATATTTTATATATTTTTTATTTTTAATAAATTCAGAAATGTTTAGGCCTGCATATATATAATTATTTATGACAGCATTTATCCTTTTGGGTTTCAGAACCTGGTTCTATGGCCTATGACACAATACAGAAATCAGGTAAGGGCTATTCTACCCTGACCCATTGCGTAGCCTTGAGACTTGAAGAAAGAAGGAACGTAGTTTTTAGCCTTGTCTTGAACTGAATTTGAAGGCTAGGGAACTACTTAGTCCAAAAATTATTGCAAAGGATAGGAACTGCTTAACAATATTTTCATTGAAAGTGCTTGAATAAGATACATTGTCTGATTTAAGTTTAGTTTAAATGGATAGTACCATCCATCTCCAAATAATCTGGATGGCTCAGTTTAAAATGCAATATGAAAAACAAGAAACAAAATAAAGAAGAGCAAAAATAAAAGCTAAATTGAAATCAAGAACAAAATGGCAGTTTGCTCCATGACAGATTTCCTGGATTCTGAAAGATGACACTAATAGAAGAAATCCAGACCAAGTTAATTTTACCAGCTGGGCAAATACACTCTCCCTTCTACTTTAAGGTAGATCACACTAGGAATTAGTCATGCATGCTAACCCTGCTTTTATTATAAGATTACAATAACTGAATCTTGCAATTCTGAATGTGCTTCCCCCTCTTTCCCTTTGCCTTCATGAAAACTATGGAGATTCTTGTCTGCTTATTTGGATTAATCCTAACCTGGACTCAGATTTCTTTTTATTTGACTGAGGATCTTCCTCTTGTTCCTCAGGATTATTCCTTCTGTCCATAACATCCTGTTTAACATCTACATGAAACTGTTGGGGGAGTTCATCTATTAGTTTGGGATCCTGCGTTATCAATATGCAGCAGATACCCAACTGTACATATTGACCTTACATTGATTGAATGATGTTTTCAACATATTGTCCATTATCTGAAAGCTGTACAACTCTGGATGGTGAAGAACAGGTTTAAACTCCACTCTGACAAAATCAAGTGGCTCTGAATAAAAGGCATGGGAATATGCCATTTTTAAACTTGAATGGGGTTGCACTTCTCTATTCAAGCATGCAACCTGTGGGTCACCTTGGATTCACAGTTCCAGACCAGGTGGCAGCTATACAGTAGTTAAGAGGACCTTTGCACAGCCTCCTATGGTCCATCAGTTGTACTTGTGCCTTGATGGGAAGGCTCTCCATACCTCCATGCACCCAAAAAGCCCTTAATGATATAGGACCAGGTTATTTGAGGAGCCACATATTTTACATGATTTCTGCCTATTGTCATTATTGATCAGTTTTTAGTTTTGCTAATCAACCAATGCCATCTTTTGAGATTCAAGAAGTGTGTTTTCTATTTCATAGCACCTCCCCTCCCCTAGAGATTTAGCTCCCCACCCTGAAGATATTTCTGGCCTCTTAAAAACTTGGCTCTTCTCCTAAATCTTGGGGTAGGTCTTTGGGACACTTTTATGACATAGGGCCTGTGGTTTGTCCAAATATATATTACCTTTTTTCTTCTTGTTTTAAATCTTTTTAAAGCTTAAGCTGCCCAGCATCCTTATGGAATCATGCAGCTTCGAAATTAATTATAGACAGACATATAGAAATCTATGGCATGCTTAGCGAAGATGGGGTTTTGATTGGCTCTTTAAGTATTGGAAAAAGGGAATATGAGGTTCAGTATTGCTTGCTCATTTATTTCAGAACTGTGAAACTTCAGCTATGCTGTGTTTGATGGCATTTCTGTTCCTTCTGCTGAAAGGAAAACTTGACTTTTAGTCAGGTTTTATCTGATGGCGCCTCTGAAAAAATGAGGTCAGCAACTGTGGATTGGTTCCCAAAGCCCATATCCCGTTATCTTCATATATGCTATCTGAACAGAACAAAGAGAGCAGAGTTCTCTGCTTCAAACCCCCCAGCAATGATAAGAACCAGAATCTCCTTCTCACTTGAGAATTGCTGCCATGCCTTGAGGCATGTTGCTAAAAGATTATGGCATGATAGCAGCAAATCTCTTCTGAGCTGTTTTGTTCATCTAGGATTCTGTAATTAATTAGATGATATGTGAGAACAGGTATTACTTAATACTACCAGCTGCATACATCATGATCTTGATACCTGAATGACTAAAAAAACTAGATTGATTGTTTTAACAAGTTTTACTGATAGGATGCAGTTTTGAGTTAATTTAATTTAATGAAATTCCATTTATCAGAGGCAGCCTTAGAGAAGTCAATCTTGGTTCTTCATGCATAAAGATGGTAGGAGTGACCTTATCCCATTTTTTAAAGAGCAAAGGATATTAAAATTTAAAGGATCATCTATCAACAACAAATGATTTACTAATAGCAGTAAATTTAAAATTTAAATTAAAAAATTTTAACCTCTGAAGCACAGCTGCAATAGTTATTGTCCAAAGAATTTACTTCCCAACAAGATTGCTATTTTGAATTTGTAGTACCTTGTTTTCCCCAAAATAAGACATCCCCTGATAATAAGCCCAATCAGGCTTTTGAGCGCATGGCAATAAGGCCAAGCACTTATTTCAGGGTTCAAAAAAATATAAGACAGGGTCTTATTTTCAGGGAAACACGGTACAAAAAGATTGATTCAAGCAGTTTCCACTTAACTAGATACCTTTCACTTAGAGACACCATTGGCTGATAAGTTTAGAATGAGTTTGCATTGTACAGGGTTGTGAAAGATGCTGGATTCCTTCTACAATTTCAGGTCTCCCAGTCATAAATCAGATATGTGAAAAAAGCTCTTTTTTCAGAGCCTTTATGTCTCAGTCCTATCCCCAAAGGGACAACTTTATAGGATGAAAACATAGTACTGCCTCACAGCATACTCAGTCCTGTCTGATGAGATGGACAAGGTTGCCTTTTTAAATGTAAATGCCTGTTCCCTGGAATCTGCAGCATAGGTTGGGATTAATTTCTCTTTCATTCTTCCTGGTTTTCAGCCACTGATTTGTTTTGGTTTTGTCTACCAGCAGCCTTTGACCTTTACGCAAAGCCTGGTAATAATAGGACGTTAACTCTGTTGAATCCCAAGAAATCTTTTTATCAATGGAGGCTACGTGTTCCATCTGAATGTGTTGTGAGATTGGTAGTTGTAACATCGTATGATGTGGTTCCTGGGAGTTGTGCAACACACAGGCTATCTGCGTATGATTTTCTTCTTCCATTGCAAAACAAGATCATTACCAGGTAGGGAATACATTAAAGAAGGTTTTTTTTTTGAATAGGCACAATGAAAAGACAAATCCTATGCTTGTGTAATGTGCAGCTCAGTGATAGAAGGACCGAGAGTCAGACTTTGACAGTGCTAATTAAGGAATCTTGGAGGGTATTCATAGGTAGCAAAAAATAATAATAATAATCCCTAATTTCTAGAATAAGCATTCAATTTGCTATTACACACATATGCATACACTCTGATTTTTTTGGTGGAAGAAAATTGATGAATTAATAAAAATTTAGTCAGCTAACTGGAATTTGTAGGAATAGACATTCAATATATATAGAAGGTTCCTGATTATGACAAAAAGCTGTATATTCTATAGGTATATTATTGTACAAAATCTTTTTTTGATTCTAGCAAATACTGTATGTAAAGAATTATATTTTATTATTATGTCCCAATTTGTATTTCAGGTGGTGTGGAATGTCAGGAGCCTGGAAACCTCCAGTTATACGTTTAACTTCATCCAGTAATGTAATGCTGGTCACTTTTTCACTGGATCGACGACAAAAGAGTAATATATTGAAAGCATATTTCCAGGCTGTTCCTAAAATTGGTATGCAGTTATCAGAACTTCTATTAATTCTCTGATGTTTATAAATTATTATTGATAATTTATATTCAATTATATTGAATATAATTCCATTCAAAATTGTGAACTACTAGATGTGAAAATCATTTTTTGCTTGGTTGATTTAGGACATCTTGAATATGACATTTTAACATATTAGTACATTGCCACTACCCCTAGTTGATGAGATATGAAGAACACTATGATGTCTATAATAGATTGCATTAAACTTTGGTGAAAAGTATGACATATTGAGCCAAATATGCCAAAATTGATTGATAATGTCTTAACATTGGCACAGAATTCTGCACATGGCACAGATACAACCAAGGTTTTTAATTTAATCTACAATTTTTCTATCTTATTAAAAAGAGTTTTATGAAGATTTCAAGGGACTAATACTGTGATGGTTTCAGTAGTCAGTATCTATGGACCTATCTGTTGTTGGCCATGACAAATAGAAGATTGGAACTTGGAATGTAAGAGGACTAAATGATATAGATAGAACATGCATTAATTAATTAATTAATTAATTAATTAATTAATTGAATGAATGAATGAAAAAGAAATGTAGATCTGTGCAACCAAAGGAATATAATGTAACAGAGTTCATGATTATACATAGGGTAGGTTTAATTATAAATTAAAGGACATAAAGTGTTTGCCAGAAAATAAAAATTGGTACTATATATAGGTATTGCAATAGGCATGAAAGCAGGAATCCATAAATGAATAATAGTTGCGTGTTACATTCTATTGAATGGTGATAATTGAATAACCAGAGATAAGTTTTGGGAAATATTGGATAACATCTGAATATCTGAATTAATATGATCCAGGGTAAAAATATTCTAGTTGATAATATTGGGTGAGAATAAGATGAAAAAAGAACATTAAAAGTCAATGGGATCATTTGAAGACACAAAAATGAATGGAAAAAATATCTGGTGAGTATCTGCTTTAAAAAAAAGCTTTATGTGTATCATTTATGTAATTTAATAAAATGCCTATTCATGCATACTCAAGGTAAAGGAATGGATATAAATTTAAAATCATGAGTTATTGTTTATATGAGTTAATTGTTTATCATCAAAACTGAGGAAAAACAGTGAGGGCTACATGGGTTTTGATAGGGTATGTAGAACACACCATTCTTTTTTTCGGCATCAAGAGTATATCACAGGACAAAAGAGAACATGGGAGAAAAAGGAAGGAAATGAAGATAATCTGCAATATGGGAATTACAGGAAAAGAATACAAATCTTTCTGAAAAAAGCATTGCATGATAGATTAATACACAAACAAATGAATGGAAAATGAATGAAGTGAAAAATGACCTGAAATGTGTCTGGAATAGAATGAAAAGGATTATATGGCATGATGTCACTGGAATGTCTGGGCAGCATGAAAAAAAGATGAAGGAAGATACATAGTGAATGATAAAGTGAAAGAAGCTGTGCATGATAGAAATGTATCTAAGAAATAACCACTTTAAGGATGAAAATGATAGAAAAGTGTGTAGCCAAAAAGCAAATTGTTTTATTTAAAAAAGAAAGAGAAAATGTGAAGCAATTTTGATAGAGTGTGTATCAAAATAGTGTGATTAAAATAAAATTAATGAAATTTGGTGTGGGGAGGTTGAAACTAAACCTAAGGTGTGAGAGTTCTAGAATGAGTATTCTTTTTAATTTTAAAAAAAATTGGTCTTACAGCTTCTTATATCTTTTCTCTGCCTTGCGTACTATTACAGATAAAAGGAACTGTAATGTTGAAAGATGGATCTCATCTATGAACTTGGAGAAATATGAATAAACTGTTGTATTATTTTTTCCTCCCTTAGTTTGTGGTGGCTGGTATGTTTCCTGGAATGGGAGTGTAATTTCACCTTATTATCCTAGTTACTATCCACCAAACATTGACTGCCACTGGGTTATCAGGGTATGTACTGTTATAATCAGCAAGCCAGCAAGGGCCATGGGTGGGCACTGGGGAAGTGGAGGCAGGGTTTTGGGGGCCACAGATGTGAGAGAGTGCTGTGGCCCATCATACAATACAGAGTGTGTGAATGTGAGGGGGTGCTATGGAGTATGGGAGTGACTTACAGGGGTAACTTCTGACATTTCCTGCTGGCTTCCCCATTGACTTTGCTTGTGGGAATCAGGCAGGGAAGGTTGCATATGACAATCACATGACCGCAGGATGATGATGTAAAGGTTGCAATCTTGTGGATCAGTTGTAAGTCCACCTTGTTTGAACAGTTGCTGAACAAATGGTCATAACTCAAGGACTACCTGTAGCTGATTAGAAGGCAAGCTCATACGAGGAAATAAAAATTGGTGCTATATTTAGGTATTGCAATAGGCATGAAAGCTCATCCCAAGAAATAAAGACAAAAATAGATGGGTATGCACATCATGCTAATTAAACAATAACCAACCATATTATGGCTTAGTGTTATACAGTATATGAACCATCTCTTTGCATAAACCTATGTTCAATTTATTGCACTGTGACGCAAATTGCACAGTATCTGACATGGACTGATGCATAGCCCAAATGACTACTACTCTGAGGTATTTGTATTCTTGCTAACCAGCAAGGGAATCTACTTTAAAATGGTAAATGCTTTTTACAAAAAATATTGAGAAAGAATCTCATGAATGATAACTCTTTCGATGAATACTGTACAGTTTCTGGAATGTGTGAGTGAATGGATGAATGGCGATTACACATCTATGCTGACCAAAAGAAACATCAGGTTTCAGTCTTGTATCCAGTAACCAGACAGTAAGTCCCACTGATGTCAGTGAGATTCTTAGTAAACTAGCATATCATTTGTTTCTCTGCAGTATATTTATTTATTTATTTATTTATTTATTTGTTTAAATTTCTATACCGCCCTTCTCCAATGTAGGACTCAGGGCGGTGAACAGCCAAAGTAAAAACAAGACATACATACAAACATACAAAATCTAAAAACTGTTTAAAATAATTAAATAATTTTGGCCGTAATTAAAACATTCCAATTTAAAATCCATTTAAAATTTGACTCAAGCCAGCCCAGCTAGTTGGAATAAATGGGTTTTCAGGGCCCGACGAAAAATCCGGAGGTCTGTTATTATACGTAGCTCTGGGGGGAGGTTGTTCCAGAGGGCGGGCGCCGCCACAGAGAAGGCTCTCCCCCTGGGGGTCGCCAGCCGACATTGTCTGGCGGACGGCACCCTGAGGAGGCCCACTCTGTGGGAGCGTACTGGCCGGTGGGAGGCTATTGGTGGCAGAAGGCGGTCTCGTAAGTACCCCGGCCCTAAGCCATGGAGCGCTTTAAAGGTGGTCACCAACACCTTGAAGCGCACCCGGAAGACCACCGGGAGCCAGTGCAGCTCGCGCAGGAGAGGTGTCACGTGGGAGCGCCTCGTCGCCCCCAAAATCCCCCGCGCGGCCGCATTCTGGACCAGCTGGAGCCTCCGGGTGCACCCCAGGGGGAGCCCCATGTAGAGAGCATTGCAGTAGTCCAGGCGGGAAGTGACGAGTGCCTGAGTGACTGTGCGTAGGGAGTCCCGATCTAGAAAGGGGCGCAACTGGCGTATCAGGCGAACCTGATAAAAAGCCCCCCTGGCCACGGCCGCCAAATGATCTTCTAACGACAGCCGTGCGTCCAGGAGGACGCCCAAGTTACGAGCCCTCTCCGTGGGGGCGAGTGATTCGCCTCCAATAGCCAGCGATGGCGTCAGCTGGCTATATCGGGACGCCGGAAGCCACAGCCACTCGGTCTTGGAGGGGTTGAGTTGGAGCCTGTTTCTCCCCATCCAGGCCCGCACGGCCTCCAGGCACTGGGACATCACTTTAAGGGCATCATTGGGGTGGCCTGGGGTGGAGATGTACAGCTGGGTGTCATCAGCGTACTGATGGAACTCCACCCCGAAGCCACGGATGATCTCACCCAGCGGCTTTACATAAATGTTGAACAGAAGGGGCGAGAGGACCGACCCTTGTGGCACCCCACAAGCAAGGTGCCTCGGGGTCGACCGCTGCCCCCCTGTCAACACAGATTGCGACCGGTCAGAGAGGTAGGAGGAGAACCACCGCAAAACGGTGCCTCCCACCCCCAACCCCGCCAACCGGTGCAACATGATACCATGGTCGATGGTATCAAAAGCCGCTGAGAGGTCTAACAGGACCAGGATAGAGGAGCAACCCCTATCCCGGGCCCTCCAGAGATCATCCACCAATGCGACCAATGCCGTTTCCGTGCTGTGCCCAGGCCGGAAGCCGGACTGGAGCGGGTCTAGATAGACAGCTTCATCCAGGTACCGGGGAAGCTGTTGCGCCACCACACTCTCAACAACCTTCGCAATGAAGCGAAGGTTGGAGACTGGACGATAGTTAGCCAAAACAGCCGGATCCAGAGAAGGCTTCTTGAGGAGGGGCCTCACCACCGCTTCTTTCAAAGCGGCCGGCAGGACCCCCCTCACTCAAAGAAGCGTTAACAATCTTCTGGAGCCAGCCTCGTGTCACCTCCCGGGAAGCCAGTACCAACCAGGAGGGACACGGGTCCAATAAACATGTGGTCGCGTTCAGCCGTCCCAGGACCCTGTCCATGTCCTCGGGAGCCACAGGATCAAACCCCCCCCCAGATAACACTCTCAAGACCTGCCTCAGTCATCCCGTCTGGACATACCCAGTCAGAGGCCAGCCCTTCCCGAATCTGAGCGATTTTGTCATACAGATACTGCACAAAATCCTCAGCTCGACCCTGCAAGGGGTCATCCCGCACTTCCAGATGGAGGAGGGAGCGGGTCACCCTAAACAGGGCGGCCGGGCGATTATCTGATGACGCGATAAGAGCGGCAAAATAGCTAGTTTTCGCCGCTTTTATCGCCACTAGGTAGGTCTTAATATGAGACCTCACCAGTGTTCGGTCAGGTTCGGAGCGGCTGGTCCTCCAACTACTCTCCAAGCGTCTTTTCCGGCGCTTCATCTCCCTAAGCTCCTCGGAGAACCAAGGAGCTAGGTGAGTTCGGTGCCGGGTCAGAGGCCGCAAAGGCACGACTCGGTCCAAGGCCCCGGCAGCCGCACTATCCCAGGCGGCCACCAGGTCTTCAGCCGAGTCATGAGCCAGAATCTCAGGAAATGGCCCAAGCTCCATCTGGAACCTATCAGGGTCCATCAGGCGCCTGGGGCGGAACCACCTGGTCGGTCCCGCCTCCCTGCGGCAGGGTGCAGCGGTTAGAAAGTCCAGTCGAAGGAGCGAGTGGTCAGACCATGACAAGGGTTCGATGGCTATATCCCCTATATCAAGGCCACTCAACCACTGACCAGAGACAAAAACTAGGTCCAGAGTGTGTCCTCCTGTGTGAGTGGGGTCATGAATTAACTGAGTAAGGTCCATGGCCGTCATGGAAGCCATGAACTCTCGAGCCACCTCAGACGTTTCACCGATAGATGGCAGGTTGAAATCCCCCATGATGGCAATTCTGGGGGTGCCCACCGCCACCTCGGCTATAACGTTAAGGAGCTCGGGCAGGGCCGTTGCCACGTGGCAGGGAGCCAGGTACGTGACCAACAGGCCCATCTGTACTCCACGACCCCACTTCACAAAGAGGGACTCACATCCGGCTATCTGTGGAACAGTGGTCTCCCTTGGATCCAGACCTTCCTTTATAATAACCGCCACCCCCCCCGCCCCTGCCCTGAGCCCTCGGCTGATGAAATGCACGGAAGCCTGGTGGGCATATATCCACGAGGGGGACTCCCCCCTCCTGGCCCAACCAGGTCTCCGTAATACCCGCCAGGTCCGCCTCCCCCTCCTGAATAAGATCGTGAATGAGGGGGGCTTTATTAACAACGGACCTGGCGTTGCACAACATCAGCCGGAGGCTCTGGCCCTGAGAATCTGGACAACCTGGGGAACAAGAAAAGCATTGGGGACCGGAATGCGCAATCGCTCTAAGATAGCGAGTGCGCATTCCCCGCACATGATGTGGTCCCCAGCTTCCGCCATATCTGCCCCTCCCACTCACTGTGCTGATGGAACAGCCCTCTTCAAATCGAACTCCAACCCCCTCCCCGACCTCCGGTTCTACGTCCCTAATGTCGCAGCCCTTCGCTAAGGCTGGTCTTGAACCCGGTGGATTTCCCCCAGAACCCACCCTAATCCCCCCCGAACCCCTTAAAATTTTTGTTAAAAACTCACTAAAAAACCCACTTAAAAAACCCCTCAAACTCTTCTTAGCCGCATGCCATCTCTCGGGGCTCCAACGTATAGAAATGATAGATAATGATAGATAAACCTTATAATAAATGTAGTTTTCAAATTTTTGTTTTTAATATTCTTTTCTTTTTGAAAAAAAAATCTTAGGCTCCACTCCCTGGATACAGATTGATGCTAAAAATTATTGTAATACAAATTCAGGAACAATCTCCTGGATCCAAGAAATGTGATAAAGATTGGCTGGCAATTGATGGAGTAAGGTGAGCTACAGCCCTATTGTAAAGCCTTCATTTAATAAATTGTTTTTATGCTTTTCATTAAGCATTTAAAAATAAAACAGAGAAAAAATTGACCACTTTTCAAATTATCTGATTGTGTGGAACCCTTAGAATAATAAAGGATATACACAAACCTAAAACCAAAATAAAACAAGATAAATTACTTTTCTGAATTAAGTTACATTTATACTTTTATTAATTCTTTGAAATTGTTAGAAATTAGACATTCAGTTGTCTGTTTTACTTAATTAAATAAAATTATCAGGTAATGGAAGGGTATATTCAGAACCGCAAGGATGCTCTTCCTCCTACTCTATTGAGAAGCTGCTCAATCTCCTGCTAGGAACAGATTGTGTTGCTTAACTAGGGGAAAAAAACTTTGCTGAGCAACTTATATTCATTCAGTGCTTTTCTTTCTACATATCTCAATATAGATAAGATATAAAAGATGAAAGATATAAGATAGGACAGACAGGATAGGATAAGAAAGATAAGGTAAGGTAAAGTAAAGATCATACAAGGTAAGGTAAGATAAGATACACATTCTGACAGGCATCTAAATGCCAAAATATAGGCCTAATGTGTGTGTGTGTGTGTGTGTGTGTGTGTGTGTGTATTTTCACAATAATATATATACACACAAACACTCTGATGGATAGGCTATCGTTTAGGATAGTCCCAAGACACAAATCCCTTCCATGCCACTACGAAAAGTGGCCAGAAGAATTTGGGCAGCCCCTGCCTTGTCAACACAATGGTCCCCATCAAAGCAGTACACATTGAGGGAAGTGTGGTATCCTGAACCGGGAGATGTCAAATGGCAAGTCATAATAAATGAAGAGTAAATATAATAATTTAACCTGTTAAAAATGATGTATCTCCAATTTTACTTAAAATATATTCTTTTCAGATATTGCAAAGCTATTGCAGAAGAAAACAGAGTCAAGGAATATGGCTATTCCATTTCAATTAGCTTCCATTCTGATGAACTGGTCACACACAGAGGTTTTTATATAGAATTTAGAGCTTTCAGCCATACAGATCGTAAGTGTTACTTGGCTGTTATTAACAAAAGGGTGCAACTTTGTGAAATTGTTTAAAGACTCATTAAGTTTATTTTGTGTATTATTATTAGCTTATATTAATTAGTATTAGCTTATATTTAATAAGCTTAAAGACTGATTATACAGGTAGTCCTTGACTTATAATCATAATTGAACCCAAAATTTTGGTTGCTAAGTGAGACATTTGTTAAGTGAGTTTTGCCCCATGTTGCGACCTTTCTCACCACAGTTGTTAATTGAATCACTGCAGTTGTTAAATTAGTACATGGTTGTTAAGTGAATCTGGCTTCGCCCTTGACTTTGTCAGAAAGTTGCAAAAGGTGATCACATGACCATGGAATACTGCAGTCGTTATAAATATCAGTCAGCTGACAATGTGACCATGGGGATGCTGCAATGGTCATAAGTGTGAAAAATGGTCATAAGTCACTTTTTTCAGTGCCACTGTAACTTTGAATGGTCACTAAATGAACTGTTGTAAATTGAGGACTACCTGTATTGCAACTCAAATTGTTACTTCTCTTATGAAAACTGCTTCTATGCATTCTGTACTATGCATAAAAAATAAAGAAGAAGTTTGAAAAGACAGTGAGAAGCTTCCTTCCGTATTAAAAACTCCTTTCTTATTTGGAAAATTTAGGCCTTTCAAAAGAGGGAAAAATAAAAAACATGTCACAGATTGATAAAAATATAATCTGCACGACAAGCATCATACGATGATTAGATTGGTCTGTTACACAATGTTTTTCATAACTGCAATAGTCTTAAACATTATGTTCTTTTAGCTTGTCCAAGGCAGTTTAAATGTTCTGACCGATCATGCGTTCCTTTAAATAGTAAATGTGATGGATGGAATGACTGCACAGATGGAAGTGATGAAATGGATTGTGGTAAGTTGTTTATAAAGTAAATTTAACATTTTAAATATTGCTTGGTATTTGCTGGATTAGATAATCATTAGATTCCTACAGTAAATCTCTAATTAATACAAATAAAAAAATGTTAATCTTTGGTTTTGTCAAATATTGCCCAGTTATGGAGATCTACCTAGCTATTCTTGATAACAGAAGTTAATTAAAGTTATTTCTGGCCAGCATTTGGATAAAAAATATCAGGAAGTACAGAGGTGTTGGCTAAGCTGGAATGTTCAAACAACAAACAAACTCCTCGATAAAGCGATGGGAAAACACTTTCATGCTGTTATCAACAAAACAACCTGAAATTCATAAGAGGCCAAACTCAGCTTGGAAACTTTACCATTACCTTTCTTGACAAATGTTAGCCATTATTCTTTATATAATTGAGCTTTGCTTTGTATAAAACTTTTGAAGAAAACAGGCAAAATCAGTGCTCCATAAAATAAAAATTCTTAACTAAATATTTTATGAAAGTGGTACCTTTATTAGGCCCCTATATGGTATTTTTGTCACAATAAAATAATTTCCCTTGTTACTTCTATTACAAAAACAACTCTGATGCTTAAAAGACTTATCAAATTATACAGAACGTCTTGGCACCCTTTTGCTCTGTACAGGCTGATTCCCCGATTATTTTTCTCGACAACATTCAGGGAATTGAATTTCATGATTGGGCAAATCAGACTACCCAACCCTAGCAGAATTCTAAGGATGATTTGAAAGGCCATTATCTTAAGTTATGATAATACAGTAGTCCTTGACTTACAACAGTTCATTTAGTGACTGTTCGAAGTTACAATGGGATTGGCAAAAGTGATTTACGATCGTTTTTCAAACTTATGACCGTTTCAGCATCTTCATGATCATGTGATAAAAATTCAGATGCTTGGCAACTGATTCATATTTATGACAGTTGCAATGTCCTGGGATCACATGTTTACTTTCTGCGACCTTCTGACAAGCTAAGTCAATGGGGAAGCCAGATTCACTTAACAACCGTGTTACTAACTTAACAACTTCAGTGATTCACTGCACAACTGTGGCAAGAAAAATCGTAAAATGGGGCAAAACTCACTTAACAAATGTTTCACTTAACAGAAATGTTGTGGTCAATTGTGGTCGTAAGTTGAGGACTGTCTGTAATATGTTCACACATTACATAAAAACCAAAAGTGGACATAAGGTTGAACATAAGGCATAAATCCCTTCCAAGAAAGAATTGTGCTTTTTTAAAAAAAATAATTGCCTTTCTGTTTTATTATGAATTATAAATGCATTAAATCTGAACCCTGTCTAATTGTAGATTTACCCAGTGGTGGGATTCAGCCAGTTCGCACCACTTCGGCAGAACCGGTTGTTAATTTTTTGAGCAGTTTGGCAAACTGGTTGTTGGAAGAAATCATTAGGGCAGAGAACCGGTTGTTAAATTACTTGAATCCCACCACTGGATTTACCATATTTTTTGGAGTATAAGATGCACCTACCTTTTTTTGGTGAAGAAAAGAAGAGAAAGAAATCTCCCTCTGCCTCTGCCTCTGAGCAATTTTGCCTCATTGCAGCAAACAGCAAACAGCCTGCTTTACTTTCATTTTCGTTTTCAGCATAGCTTGATTAGCACAAGGGTAAAAAAAATCTTCTCCAGCAATTTACCTCTTTGCAGCAAGCAGCAGAGCCCTGCGCAAAACAACTGAGAGCAAATCAGCTGAGAGTCGGGAGGGGGATCCAATCAACTTGTGCTAATTAGGCTGTGCTGAAGCTGAAAGGAGCTGTTTTTTCTTGCTGTTTGCTTGCAAGGAGGTAACTGCTGCAAGGCAGAGGCCAAAGGGTGGGGGCCAGTGGGTGGGCGGGGCTACATTTGGTGTACAAGACGCCCCTAAATTTTCACCCCCTCTTATACTTCGAAAAATATGGTATTTTTTTATGCCAATTTTTTCTGGTGTCTAACATAAACAATATATATAGTCCTTGTCAAATGACACAACTGGGATTGGCAACTCTGTCACTAAGTGACGTTGTTTAGCAAGATATCACGAAACTACAACTTGTGATTTTACTGATGGCTGTTCCATTGACTCTGCTTGTTGGAAGCTGTCCTGAAACATGGAAATGACTATCACTTGACTACAGGATGATGCAACAGTCATAAATGTGAACTGGTTGCAAAACATTTGAATCTTGATCATTTGATTGTAGGGATGCTGTGATGGTCTTAAGTGCGAGGACTGGTCATGAAGCTTCTTTTTTGGCACCTCTCTAACTTTGGCAGAGCTGCCAGAAGGCAAGAACAGTTAAAACAAAAGGGACGACTCGGGAGTAGGGCTTGGAGATGATTGGCCCCTCCCATAGGACTTAAAAGAGGAGCAAAGGCACAGGGGCCTTTGCAGGAAGCAACATTGTTCATTCTGTACAGTTTAAAGTCTGAAGCTCTGTTTGATTCTGGACTCCATGTGGCTTTGCCAATTAGGTCTTTGGCAACGTGTCAAGGGAGATAAAGATGGGTGATTATCAGCCTTATCCTGAAGGACTCTTTACAACTATTTGGGACTCATCTGTGAATGAACAGAATTCAGAGCTGTTAAAATAAAACAGGTTTTTGGGACTACTCGTGTGTTTTACTGACTCAGGAAACCTAGGTCAGAACACTTCCTCTTTGTCTTCTTTGCTTAGCTCTGTTTGGATAGAGATTTCTGATGTTTAATAGGAGGTCTTCATGTTCAACATTGAAACTCAGTGTCTAATGTGTGAGTGTCTGGAGTTTTAGTGACTTTATGTGCCTCGGCTTGAAGCCTTGGCCTATCTTACTTTTCTTTTGTTTGCCTTTGCCCATATGAATAAATTTCATAGAAGAAGCAATAACCAACCAAAAAAAAGTCCAAGTTACAGTAAAAACAAAGGTTTATCTGCACAATAATTAACATTGGGAATACTTAGGTATTTTGTGCTGTGCATTTTTAAGGAAGATTTTTTTTTTAAATTTTTTATTGAAAATTATTAAAAAATACAGAAAAAAATATAATAATATGGATAGAATTGCAGAGAGTAATATAATACATATAGAGTTTTAAAGTATCAATTTTCTCCTGGAGAAAGTACAAACTTCCATTAAGCTAACTCATCAAAAGAAAGAAAAGTTTAACCAGAAAAAAAAATTCTCAATTGTCATGCAATACTCCTGGAAATATTTACCCACATTCACATTAAGGTTAATATTTTCATTCTTCTTAAGATTTCTTTTTCTGCAGCCAAGCATACCATCTGTCCCAGCTCCTATATAACCCCGATTCTTGTCTATCTCGCAAAAGTCCAGTAAGCTTGTCTGCTTCTGCACAGTCCATGATCTTTGCAATTAACGTAGCCTCCGATGGGATATTTTTGGATTTCCATTCTTGCGCGAACGAGATCCTGGCTGCAATGATGATGTGGAGAGCGAGATACCAATTAGATTTGTTTAAGTTCTCTGGTTTCATGCCTAGTAAAAGAATATTGGGCTAGAACTCAAAAATGGATTTTAGAAATCATAGGATGCACCCCTCTAACTTTGAATGGTCACTAAAAAGGGCAGTACTTGTAATCAAAACAAACCTAGAATTTGCCTGAATGAGCTATGTTTATTACTCAGCTTCTTCCTACAGTATCTTTAATCACAAACTTTGATACAATAAATCTGGAATAGCATTATATGAAAATATACATAACCTTTATGAAAAAATAACCTATATGAAACCTAATCTATACATATACATATCCTATATGAAAAAAATGGAATATCTTCAAAAGATTTACTTAAATCTTCCTGAACATTATTTGTTATCCATTAGGATATAGGTTATATATGGTGATAATTTCAGAAACATTCAAAACATGACTCAATTTTCTGTAATTTTCTTATACTTGATATAGATAGTCCTCGATTTACAACAGTTCATCTAGTGACTTTTCGAAGTTACAACAACACTGAAAAGAGTGACTTATGACCATTTTTCACACTTACGACTGTTGCAGCATTCCCATGCTCACATGATCAAAATTCAGTCGCAACTGACTCACATTTATGATAGTTGCAATGTCCCGGAGTCATGTGATTGGCTTTTAAGACCTTCTGGCAAGCAAAGTCACTGGGAAAGTCAGATTCACTTAATAACCATATTACTAACTCAACAATTGTAGTGATTCAATTAACAACTATAGGAAGAAAAGTCATAAAATAGGAAAAAATTACTTAACAACTGTCTTGCTTAGCAACATAAATTTTGGGCTCAATTGTGGTTGTAAGTCATGGACTACCTATACTTTGCTGCTTTAATCCAGAATGAAAAGTCTGAACTAGGCATGTCTAACCATGGTCCATGGGCCACATGAGGCCTGGGACAACTAGTAAAGATAATAAAAAATGTTATTATTTATTTTACTATTATGTGAAATATTATTATATATATTGTATATTATAAATACTTAATATTTTAATATTAAAATGTTAAATAAAAGTTTATTATTTATATACATTAACTATGTTATATATTTTATATGCAGCCCAAGATAATTCCTCCTCACATAATGTGGCCAGAAAAGCCAAAAGGTTGGAAACCATGCTCTAAACTTTATGAAGACTACAGGGCAGAACAAAACACATTTTTTTTAATTTATTTAAATTTATTAGCTGCTCAACTCCAATGGACATTAGGTAATGGAGGGTAGCCATGCCTCCATTGTTACAGAAGGTAGTCCTCTGCTAACAGGTCACTTGGATAGTGAAATGGGCAGTGTCTCAATTGGATAAATAAATAAAACATAAGTGCTTGTGAGCATCATGTGCATTCACACACAGAGAAGCCTAAGTGAAGACATGGAATATTTAAACTCAGAATCACATCATGCAATACACTGATAGAATTGGATTTTTACCATCTTCACATGTACCTAGGGCCGTGATGGCAAACCTATGGCACGCAGAGCCATATCTGTGGGCACGCGAGCATTGCCCTAGATCAGCTCCAGCCCGCATGCGTGCACTGGCCAGCTGACTTTTGGGCCTTTTGGGCCCACTGGAAGTCGGGAAACAGGCCATTTCTGGCCTCCAGAGAGCCTCTGGAGCAGTGGGGAAGGCTGTTTTTGCCTCCTAGAAAGCCTCTGGAGCCTGGGGAGGGCAAAAAAATGGGCCTAATGGGCCCACCGGGCCATCGCCTGCCAATGGGGTCGCACAGGGGGGGTCGCACGTGCATGCACAGGGCGCATTGAATTATGGATGTGGGCATGTGCATGCTCGACCCCCCCCCCATGCTCCTCATTGCTTTTTGGCAAAAATGTTAGCCATCGCTGACCTAAGGTGTATAAAATACAGTGCTTACCCAATCAAAATGATGGCATTATATTGTCATTTTGTAAAACACTAAATATGTAACCTATCTGAGAAACTATAAGTTTGGGCCAGTCACCATCTTTCAGCCCATCCTACCTCACAGATCTGTTAGGTAAACATGTGAGGATAGAATGCTAAATGTATTAATTAGCACCTTAATCCCCTGGAAGAAATGTAGAGCAGAAATCTAAACTGCAAACAAACAAACAAACAATACTGACCATTTTTTCACCGGTCATTTCATCTTTTCAGCGTATAAAAGATGTCTACCTCATTCATATAAGTGTCTAAATGGGAAATGTCCAAAAAAATTAAATCCAGAATGTGATGGTATAAAAGACTGTGAAGATGGATTTGATGAAATGAATTGTGGTATGTAATTAATGTGTGAATACCTGAAAGGAGCTGTAATCATGATGGGGGAAGTCTACATTCTTTTGAGGGAATGCAAATCAAAGCCTGTATGTGCTCAGGATTGTATCGCACAATTCATAGAAAGTAATCAGCACCTCTCTTTTAGCATGTGGAAGGAGTCAGATAACAAACTTCAGAATTGTTGGTGGTGAAGAATCAAGGCCTGGAAAGTGGCCTTGGCAAGCAAGCTTGCAACTGGGAACATCTGGTCATATTTGTGGTGCCTCTGTAATTTCAAATCGGTGGTTGGTATCAGCTGCACATTGCTTTCAGGACTCCGAGTCTATAAGGTATGCATTATGTAATGCAAAGCATATATTACTGACAACAGACATCCAGACTCTTGCAGTATGTTTGTTTAAGTATCATTTAGCTCATAGGCATCAAATTCATATCTGCCTATTCCCCGTCTTGCTCTTTATTTTAAACAAAAATTAAAAGGAAGCTGACATGTGGCAGCTCACAACAATAATAAAACCACAGACAATAAAAATGAGAAAAATGAGAAAACCCAGAGGCCTAACCCATCGTCTCCATCTATTCATCTAAACAATTCCCAGGTTCCAACCTTACTATCCCGGAGCCTAATGGCAGCCTTAACAGCTTCCTGGAAGACTAAAAGGGTGAAGTCCTGCTAGATCCCAGGAGAAAGGTGTTCCTTAGGGCAGGGCTTGCTACAAAACAAAGGCATGTTTCCTAAATCCCCTTGATGACAATATTTACTAGGAGAATTGCAATCTTTGTTTTTCAGATACTCCATAGCATCAGGCTGGACAGCATATATGGGTATAAAAAGCATAACCAAATACAGCAATAATCAAGCAGTAATGAGATCAATCAAAAGGATAATAGTCCATCCAAATTATGACCCATACATCTCAGATTATGACATTGCGCTCTTGGAAATGGAGGCACCGGTATTTTTCACTGAGCTGATACAACCCGTATGTTTACTGAGCAGTCCTAGAGTATTTATTTATGGAACTGTCTGCTATGTAACTGGCTGGGGAGCTGTAAAAGAAAATAGTATGTTCATTTCAAATTGCAAGTATCCCTAATCTGTTGTACCTTTTTGTGAATCATAACTGTCAGCTGCTGTGGAAATCAATTTCAGCTATAATGTTATGGATCTAATTAAACTTAATAGGATTAAGAAAAATCTGTTGCAATTCTGAAAACATATCCTTAGTTGATAGAGATGTTTAATTTCATAAAGTTTTAAGCATTACATTACTTATTCCAGCTGGAAGACGTATCTTTCAGTTTGAAGACACATACAATTTTATTTATATTTCATTTATTTAATGTACCAATTGCTATGTGAATTACTATAAAGGAACGCAACATATGAGCTAGTAAAATTTCAAAGATATAGGGCAGATCTTGACAGGTTCATTGCAATTTATGTTTCAAAAATATGCTTCAATTAAACAAACTGTAATATCATTCCAGGGAGGTGAAGAAAGACCATCAACCACTTTTAAATATATTCTAGAATATATTTAATCTAGAATATATCAGTATCAGTGATCTATTATCAATTCCCATCTCCCCTTTTTTAAAAAAATTGGCACAAGTGGCAATCTAACTTTCAAGTGGCAATTCCAACTTTTGATGTTGGAAAATGGTTGCTGTTCCTTACCTATTGTAATGCTCAATTTTGGAGCTTAGCACTGGAGAAACACATTGGACAGGCCTTGGATGCTTCTACTCTCTTTCAACAGACAGATTTACTCCCTACTTAATTTATACTAGCTATCACTTGCAAATGTGAGGATAACATAGCAAATACCATACTTACACAATGTTTCTATCAATTTAGGTCAGCTTACAAAAACATTACAAGAAGCCAAAGTGAAAATCATTAACCAAAGTGTTTGCAACAAACTTTATGATTACCTAATTACATCTCAAATGTTATGTGCTGGGAATCTGAATGGTGGTACTGATGCATGTCAGGTAAAGCCAAAAACAAAACTGTGAAAAGAAAACATGATTTACATGACTGCCTTTTAAATGAAATGATCAAAGAATACTTTTCATATATCTGTTTTGTAAGGAAAGGGAGACAACATAAGTCCTCTGACTTGTCTGTTCGTAATATTTGCCTAAAAAAGAGTTGTATTAGTAACAGTTAGAATGTGATGAATAAGCTCAGCAATATTATGTTAGTTAAATATAAATAAGTAATGTGTTCCTAATTTTACAAAATAAATGAAATATTATGCACTACAAAGTTCGACACTTTTGCAATTTGAGCCTGTAGTACAGTGGACTAAAGCACTGTTATTAACATCTGCTGCTTGCAATTACTGCAAGTTCAAATCTTACCAGGCTCAAGGTTGACTCAGCCTTCCATCCTTTCAAAGGTAGGTAAAATGAGGACCCAGATTGTGGGGGCAATAAGCTGACTTTGTATAAATATACAAAAGGATGAAAGGCTATTGCTTAACGCATTGTAAGCCGCCCTGAGTCTCCGGAGAAGGGCGGCATATAAATTAAAGCAAAAAAAATAAAAAAATAAAAATTCAGTCTGTGTGAAATAGAATAGAGTAAGTTATCAGGATCAATAGTTTTCTTGTGTATCAAGAAGATTACATTTGAAATGTTGGGTCAATTCTGAGCACCTTTTGAGATCAGATGCATGTGGAAAACAACAACAACAATCTGGAAAATCCAGAAACCAAATTAGATGAGAAATTGCTATAAGACCTGTGTTTATTAATCTTGACTGAGAGGTGAAAAGGTGAAAAGAGATGGTCTTCAAAGATCTGAAAAGCAATTGTACCAAGAATGAACAAGGGATTTATTTGTTTGTTACTTACTGTTGTTTCATAAGCCAGTATTCGCTTTTATTTTCATCCAGAGCAGTGGTGAAATCCAAATTCTTTTACTACCGGTTCTGTAGGCGTGGCGTGGCTTGGTGGGCGTGGTGTGGCTTGGTGGGCGTGACAGGGGAAGGATACTGCAAAATCCCCATTCCCTCCCCACTCCTGGTAGAAGGATATTGCAAAATCTCCCCCCACTCTGGGGCCACCCAGAGGTGGTATTTGCCGGTTCTCCGAACTACTCAAAATTTCCGCTACTGGTTCTCCAAACTGCTTAAAATTTCCGCTACTGGTCCTCCAGAACCTGTCAGAACTGGCTGGATTTCACCCCTGATCCAGAGCTAATGGATGAAAATAGAAAATAAAAGGAATTTTAAGCCAAACTTTAGAAACGCTGCAAATTTGTAATGCTGAGAGCAGTTTAGTATAACAAACTGCCTGTGGAAGAGGCTGTTCTTTGCTAGACTTTTCTGTCAGAATGATTTCATTGTTCGGAAAGTTGGATGAGGTAATCCAGTAGAATTTCCCATTCTGTTAGTCAATAATACAAAATGAAATGTCACTATGTTTAGAATGTAATGAAACTATTTTTTTTCTAATAGCAAGAGTTCTGACTTTCCTTTTAGGGTGATTCTGGAGGACCATTAGCCTGTTTAGGAAAAGGAAACAGATGGTACCTTACAGGCATTGTCAGCTGGGGTGAAGGATGTGCTCGAAGGAACCGCCCTGGAGTTTATACTAAGGTCACAGCATTTTATGAATGGATCCATCAATACATAAACTAACAAATGCTCGAATGCTCTGCCTGATTCAGTTGTCTCAGTTACAAATTTTCAGTTTTAGTCACAAATTGACTTCTGTGGACCTCACTTCATACTTAAGAGGTCCGTAGAGGGGACGTGCATAAGCACACTAATGTGACTATCGTCCCGGTCATTGTATTTTTATATTATTCCTGTTTTTGTTTCTGTTTGTCAAATTACAGTAAATAAAATAAAAAAATAAATGATTTAAAAGAAAGCTGAAAGCATCCATATGACTTCCAATTACTATGTACAAAACAGATTGTATAAAACAATTTTAAAAAGCACTTTGGATATTTTTGTATAACTTTTTTTTTAAAAAAACTTACCTTTTTGCACTAAATAATTATTGAATTAAGCATGGGTAATTTTCACTATGTGGGTGTTCATGGTATTCTATCAGCAACTATGGAAAAGGGGAATAAGATTTTGTTCAATACTTCTTGATTTGATTCGTCTTCTTATTTTCATCTATTTTCATCTTGTTTTTGATATTTTCTCTTAAGATGCATATCAGTAGTCAATTTTTGAGACGTATGTAGAACTTTGCAATTATGCTGAAAATGAAGGTCAATTTCTTTGGAACAGATGCTGGATACTGCTGACATCTCAGCATTCAATCAGAATTCTTTTAAGATTTAGTTGGTTTGAATCTTGTTTTCTTTAATTCCCTGGTAGAGTTTCTTGCTATTTCTCCTCTATTCCACATTGCATGTTGTTAATATGTGAATGTTAACTGTAATAAAATAATGAATTCGACAGAAACCCCCAAAATTGGAGCAATAGGTGGTGCAGTGGTTAGAGTGCAGCACTGCAGGCTACTTCTGCTGACTGCCGGCTGCCTGCAATTTCCGAGGTGGGTAAAATGAGGACCCAAATTGTTGGGGGCAATAAGGCCAAGTGCTTATTTCAGGGTTCAAAAAAATATATAGGACAGGATCTTATTTTCCGGGAAACATGGTATTCATTTAATTATTGCATCATTTAGAGCCTTGGTGGCGCAGCAGACTAAATTGCTGTTAAGTAACATCAGCTGCCTGCAATTACTGCAAGTTCAAATCTCACCAGGCTCAAGGTTGATTCAGCCTTCCATCCTTTCGAGGTAGGTAAAATGAGGACCCGGATTGTGGGGCAATAAGCTGACTTTGTATAAAAAAAGAACACCGCTGTGGGAGGGGGGGAAGCCCTACTAAGCAGGTATATACAAAAGTATGAAGGCTATTGCTTAACGCATTGTAAGCCGCCCTGAGTCTCCGGAGAAGAGTGGCATATAAATCGAACCAATAAATATAAATCGAACCAATAAATTTAGTGACCAAAATTACAGTCCCATTTATGGTTATAGGTTGAGGACTACCTGTATACATTAATTGTTTCTTATGTTTTTTATTATATGAAAACATGGCTAAAGAAATTTCTGATGAATGAACCAACCCACATTTTTTTTTCTGAGGCAGTTCATATAATATAGCTGTGGTTCTGATAAGTATCATATGTCAATGACCAATAAACAGAAGAATGTGTGACACTGGTGGATTGTACTGGTCTGGATTTTCAGGAGGAAGAGAGTGCATTCAGAGGAGTAAGAGACAGCTCAGTTCAGATAGTGTGTATGTATAAGAGGAAGAGCTACCTTCCTGAAAGTTCTTTTGAATATAGGCTTGTGTAGATAGAACAGTGCTTTACTATGGCAAGATTCTGCCTATAAGTGTAGAACAATAGAAATCTACTTAGAAAAATCACCACATATTTCCTGTTTTGGGAGGGGTGAGGCTGAGTGACTATATGTCAGGCATATAACCCAGGGATAGGTTCTACTTACCTTTACTACCGGTTCGCAATGGGAGCGCACGCGAGCATGCGCAGAAGCTTCTGCGCATGTGCAGATCATCAATTATGACGTCTGGGCTGGTAGGTGGAGCCTCCCACTGCTTTTACTACCGGTTCTAAAGAACCTGACAGAACCGGGAGCAACCCACCACTGATATAACCACATATATTCAGAAGCTCAGTAAGGGACGGGTTTTTTTTTTATTATTACATATTATTCTTTTATTAGTTTTATTGTTTTTTATATGATGTTTTTATATTCTTGTTAATTGCCTTGAGTCACCATGTGGGACTAGGTGGCAATATAAATGTCCTAAATAAATAAATATTTTGCAAAAGTAACTCTAATGGTCTCATGCTTACCTGGTTAGACTACTGAAATGTGCTATCTTCAAAGGCATCCCAGAACCTACAGTTGGGATAAAATGCAGTTGCCTGCATGTTAACTGGCATAACGTACCAGGAACAGATAACAACTGTGCTGCACGCCATACACTTATGTTTCTGGATATAATCTGAAATGTTTGGTTGATCAGGTGCCAAAATGTCAGAGGTCCACCTTTTGAAAACCCCAATCAACATTCCTCTTCCTCTTTCTCTGTCTGTCTGTCTGTCCCCCTCTCTCCCTCCCTCTCTTTAATAGGGAACAGTCTTTCCTTAGTGGTTGGACTTGCCCTGACTTTGATTGACATCTAGACGCTGGTCAAGATGAACTATTCTGGAGAGCTTGTTTTCGACTGTTCCCTAGTGAGAAAAAGCTTCACTTCTAGTCTATCTCTATTTCAATCATTTATATGGTCATATATCTTGCAAATTGGGTGGCTAAGCAAGTTTTTAAAAAAACCATTCAATCAATAAAATTAAGAGAGAGAGAAAGAAAGAAACAGGTGACAAGAACAACTGACATACTACAACAATTAAAAAAAAATACTCAGCAACTAACCCACTTAACGTCAGTTAACATCCCAACCCCCAATCTGAACATAATAGCTTGGTCTTGACAGTTTTCAATTTACTTCATGAAAGGAAAGAAAGAAAAGAAATACAATATTTCATAATGTTGTCACTCCAAGAGTAAGATCTTTTATCTCTTCTTGTGGAAATTGCTGGCGCAGAAATTGAGAAATTCTGCTAGCAATGGGAAGGTTTCAATTTGTGAGAACAACATCTCCTTAATTATAAATTAGTTATGAAGTGGTAACAATATGTTGCATGTAAATTGTCATAGAAAAGGCAATAGGAAAATATAGAGTCCCTTTGGGTAATAAGATAGTTGGTATTTAAATTTATTAAATAAAATGGAAAAATAAATTCAAAAAGATCTTAAATATTCTGACTGTAAAGACAACACCTCTCAGAGAATTGGTCCTACTGCATCTCCTATTAAGTACTGCTGATAAGGCTGTACAATGTGCTGAACAAGTAAGATTGAATAACTACCTTGAGTATATAATAATAATTTAATTTAATAAGAATTTCCAAACTGGAACTCAGATTGGAAAGTGGACCCCAGATTTGACAAATTTCATATTTTTCTCTCTATAAACCCATGAACCCAGAGGCAACAGAGAGTTGATAGAAATGCTGCATTAACACAGGTCTGCTGAGATATTTTTCTTTACAGCTTAATGATCCAATGAACCAGGGGAAAACAAAAACTGAAGATAAAAGGAGGATTAGCAAATACAGAATCTCATTTCCAGTGAATCATACCTGTTTTCATGCAGATTAAAGCATTCAAAATACAACTTGAAATGAGGAAGAATGGTTATAAAACTTAGAATGAACAATGTCCAAGGAGTTTGAATCAAAATAGGCCCACGTCTATACACAGTACATTATTTGGGATAAAGTTTTAGCTTTAAAAGTCTTTGTGGCGATAGGTACTCATCTTCTCAATTTAGATTTTTTTTTTATTGCTTAGCGCTACCGGTATTAGCTTTGACAGAAATGGCTCTAATTTGTTCCCATGGAACTCTGGAATCTTGTAAAATTACACAACATATTTAATAGATGGTATTATTCAATTTTATTTTTTCCCAAATTTGCCATTGATATTTGTAACAACTAGATCAAAATCCATAATTTGGGTCTGACTGATTGATTGTAAATCCAATGAATTTAAGAGAACTTTCTTCCAAGTAATTGATTCCATAACCAAGTCCATAAGATTTTAGCCAAACTCATGTGTGGCTTCCCAAGCAACTTCCATCGAGTATAAGAAACTGTGTCACATAAATGCAGGGAATCAGTTAATAAAAGTTGGTGTAGAATTTCATACCCTCAGTAGGGAAAAAGAACCCATTAAATTGCTGAACAGTGGGGAATAGAAGGATTTATAGAGAGCCAACTACGGATCCTCAGAGTGCTAATGAGCAGATGACTGCAAAGAATATAAATTCTTCCATTCCCTACCATTCAGTCAGGATTGAGGAAACTTTTTTTGATGAGAAGCCAAACGTTTTCAAGGAAAAAATCAGGAAAGTCCAGTTGACTTTTGAAAAAAAAAAAAAAAGACCTTTGGGCCTGAATTTGTCTACTTTTAAACTGAAGTCCATTGATCCTTGCTTCTAAGTTTTTATTTCTAATACTAAAATTATACCTTTTCAGTGCTTTTGTTTTAGCCTAGCAAAGGCATAACCTTTTCGTTTGCCATTCCACTAAAAAAAGGCTGAGTTGTTTTGATTAAAGTACCTGCTGTATATAGAAGGCGGTCGAACCGGAAAATTCAGTCTTGTGCAACTTTGGAACGAAAGGTTGCTTTTTGGACTCGATAGAAACAGCGAGAGCTCCCTTCTTCCCTTATTGTTTTTTGTTTTTACCGGCATCTTGGAAAACGTTTATCAGACATTGCATCGTTTTATTATGAAAATCATCCTTATTCCTGGCAACACTGGAGCCCAACACTATTTTTTGCTTTTGTTTTCTTCTTCCACTTTCTCGATCAGCGCAATCGAGTCTGGATGTGTAAAGGAACACAAGTTATTTCCCCGTTTCCCACTGCCTTTGATCTTGAAAAACTAAGTCAGCCATGGACGCAGTGAACGGCCTCCTTCCCGCGCAAAATCAGCCGGGCATTGAGCTAAGCCGAAAAGACGAAGAAAGAGGAGAAGAAAGCGAGTTTCTGCAGGAAGAAACCCTTCGCTCCGCCGCCGCGGTAAGCCACTGGGTGCTTCACTTCTTTCTGTTTTGGGAAACGTTTGTTTTGTTCCCAGGGTATGAAAACAGAAATTGCTTGATCAGCCTCCCATTTAGCTCAAGAAGGAATTTACTCGGAGTTATTAAACCTGGGAACTTTACAGTAATTCTGATGCAATTGGGGGGGGGGGGGGGAGTTATGAAATGTACTGGGGGAAAAACAGGGCGTGAATGAGTCAACTCTATCTATGTGCAGTATCTATGCAGCTATTTACACTCTCACCCGTGGCTGCTTATCTTAGGCGTCTCCTTCATTTGTAATCAGAGGATGTATGTGTATTTATTTCGCTAGTGGAAATAGTAGCACATTTTTGTTAACAAGAGACACTTTTCTGAGTTCTGGCATTTTAACTGTGTTGGGCTGGGTGGTCCTGTCAGAGCGATTCTCTCATCTTCCAGTAAGCCAGAAGACAAGCAACTATTCTTGTTCTTTCCCACATCTGTTATAATAGTAATTATTTAACATAGGCTTAGAAAGTTGAGATGAATATTTTCAGTGTCTATCCCCCTTTTTTCTGAAGGTTCAAGGAGACTTCACAGGCAGTTTCCCCTTGTTTTATCTTATAAGACTAACCCTATAGGGTAGGCAGGCTGAGAATGGGCAACTCGTCCAAAGTTACCAGAAAACTGCAAAACAAGAGTCAGGACTTCTACTTCAGGCTCTTAGCTGCTTCAAGCCACAAGCTTAAGGAATATGTGATCCTGGTTCTAAAGCAGGTGCCAACCTACAAAGCAGGAGGATGTGAGTTCTAGTCCTGCCTTAGTCGTGAAAGCCAGCTGGGTGACTATGGGCCAGTCACTCTTTCAGCCAACCCATCTCACAGAGTTGATGTGGGGAAAATAGGAGGCGGAAGGAGTATTAGATATATACATCACCTTGAGTTACCGTACTTATAAAGTATTAAAGGTGGGGAGGAAATCAAATAAATTAATGAAATAAAATACATTCTCATTCTTATGACCTTTATAGTTATCTCACTGAAAAAGATGAAATTGTATGAGTCTGTCGGACACGTTTTTCAAAAGTTGCAAGACTTTTTGATTTGTATTACATCTCTTTTTGCCCAAACTGACTGCAGTTGATTTTTACTTATTTCCAAGGAGTAAAAAGAAAATTGCTTAGAGTAGGATTATTATTAAATGTTGGTTTAGATTAAGCCAATGCCAGTGTTGCTCAGAGTTAATAGTCTAGCATGATTCCTATTGCTTATTACATCTGAAGTTGGGATGCCTCTTTTTTATTTTTAATTATATTTTCTCTCTTTTTCTTCTGGTTTTCCATAAAGCTTTTTGCCTTGTTTTTAATTTTTTCCAAATCCTGTTTGAAGCATGTTATCATTTCTGTTTGTTGAAACTTTGAAAAATTAGTCATAAAAACATGTTTCTAGCTATTCTTGATCATACTGGGCTAAGTGGAGTAATTATCTGACTTAGTATGATATATTATCTTAGTACCTAAATCATAATGTTCCTTATTGGGGGGAAATGTACTTGAGTAGTACTGTGCTTACTTTGCATATCAAAATATCTTGGGTTCCTTTATTAAGGAACTAGGAAGTGCTGGCTAAAACCTTGGGTTAAAACCTTGGAGGTCATATCAGTCAGCAAAGATGTGGTCAGACATGTGGAACAATGGTGTAGTGAAAAACACTTCCTTTGTTCCATCAACATTATTGAGTATGTCTGTTTGAATATTTTATACTTAAGAATATAAACATGCTTTTTGTTTTCTAATTCCTTGTTTCTTTAGGAGACAAGCAGCTTAAAATCACGTTCTTCAATTATTTTTTGGAAATGCAAACTCTGGATGATTATAACATCTGTTTTTCTAGTGTTGATCCTTGTGATTGCTTTAAGTTTAATTTTGTATTCAGGTTTGTACTCTTTATGGATGTGATTTTTTTTAGGTATATAATTGAGTCAAAAGATTGTGGGACAGGGATAAATGAATGAATGAATGAATGAATATTTTTATTACAGTTACTGACAGAATTGTAAAGAAACACTTTAATAATAAACTAAAAGCAAAAAAATATATAATTGGTGAATTTGTCAATGGGTAGTAAATATTTGCCTACTTTTACAGGCAATATAAGACAATTATCTACCCTTAAAGAGATTGAATCATAGTGATATGATAACAACAGATCTACATAGAAAAGATCAGAATTTCCTAGGTATTTGACCATAGTAATACTTATACTGTAAATTCTTCTAGAAGGTACAGTATAGCAGGAGATGAGCTATACTGTAATTTCATCAGCCCCTTTTCTGCACATGCATAGTCTCAACTCATAGGTAACTTTTTTGTATTGACTGTCCAAAATTGCTGTGGGGAGAACATTGAAGCATCCTAGAGTTAATGGTTCTTGGAATTTGGAAACAGTTATATGGAGTAAGTGTCTTGCTGTTTATATAAAGGGGCTTGTCTGCTGAGAAAAACTTAGGTAGAACAGACTGGTCCTATAGGTCCTTCTAGGCCCTTTGATATAACATTTAAATAAACTGAATGCATGCTCATAACCTATCATTAAGTTTGGGGATGGTTTTCCTAATTTGGTGTGGTGCCCTGTTCTGGCAAAAGATTGAATCTTACTGATGTTCATAGGACATTGAAATTAAAAAAGGAATATACTGTGTAAGGTACTTTCTTTTTCTAATACTGACACATATTATCCAAACATAAAACACAAACTTTCCTTAATTAAGTAAAACAACAATAGAAGCAAAAACAAAGAGAAAAGAACAAATACCCATACATAAAATAAAACTAGTGCAAAGATTGAAGTGAAAATATTATTATTCCTAAAAAAGTTTAAAAGGCAAATCAAATTTTAAAGCGAATATATATTGCATGTGTGTTCATGTGTATGTGTATATATGAGAAAGCATTCTAATACGAGCCTATCTGTTTTTATTAACATTAAACTGATTCAATGGTACCAATTACTTTAAGTATTTATTAAGTTGCTCATTATTTGCTGGGAGATCAAGTTCTATTCTCATCTATCCCATCATTTTATAATATATCCCATAACATGAAATAATTATTAATAAAACCAGAAAAAAGAAGTTTCTTACCCATTAAAAAATTATTTTTTATTTAGAACCCACACCTCAACAGAACACAGTCCAGCCATAATAAAGTAAAGGTAAAGGAATCCCTCCATTACTCCGCTAATCATTGCCAACTATAGGGGGCAGTCTCATCTCCGTTTCAAGGCCATTGAGCCAGTGCTTTCTGAGACATTTCCACGGTCATGTGGCCAGCATGATGTCACTTGAGTACTGTTACTTTCCCACTGAAGTGGTACTTATTTATCTACTTGCATTTGCATGCTTTTGAACTGCTAGGTGGGCAGGAACTGGAACAGGAACAGGAATCACTCCGTTACATGGCACTCAGGTTTTGAACCTGGGCTGTCGACTTTCCAGCTGACAAGCCCAGTGTCTTAACTACTGAGCCACTGTGCTGCCTCCCCCCAGCTATAATACAATAATATATTTTAAATCATAATAAAATAATACTATCCAGTTATAAAAGCGTAAACTTACTTCTAGGCTGCATAAACAGGGATAGAATCAAGATCACGTGATGTGTTAATACCATTTTATAATGCCTTGGTAAGGCCACACTTGGAATACTGCATTCAGTTTTGGTCGCCACGATGTAAAAAAGATGTTGAGACTCTAGAAAGAGTGCAGAGAAGAGCAACAAAGATGATTAGGGAACTGGAGGCTAAAACATATGAAGAACAGTTGCAGGAACTGGGTGTGTCTAGTTTATTGAAAAGAAGGACTAGGGGAGATATGATAGCAGTGTTCCAATATCTCAGGGGCTGTCACAAAGAAGAGGGAGTCAAGCTATTCTCCAAAGCACCTGAGGGTAGGACAAGAAGCAATGGGTGGAAACTAATCAAGGAGAGAAGCAACTTACTAAGGAGAAATTTCCTGACAGTTAGAACAATTAATCAGTGGAACAACTTGCCTAGAGAAGTTGTGAATCCTCCAACACTGGAAGTTTTTAAGAAGATGTTGGATAACAATTTGTCTGAAGTGATGTAGGGTTTCCTACTTAAGCAGGGGGCTGGACTAGAAGACCTCCAAGATCCCTTCCAACTCTGTTATTCTATTCTATTCTATTCTGTTCTGTTCTGTTCTGTTCTGTTCTATTCTAATGTATCAACTAACTTTACAGATTATATTTGCAATATAGAAGTTCTACAATCATCATTGGTATCTGCTCACAACCACTTCTACTAGTCACCTTTACAGAATAAGAATAAGGTTTTCAAATCCTGAAAAAAGATCCTAGAATGTGTGGAATCTTAAGTGGGGAGGGGGGGGGAGAGAAACCCAATTCAAATCAAGAACCCAGATTATGAAATATATGCAAATGAGAAGGAGTAGCAGGGAAAAAGGAGTAGAAAGAAGCCTTTGTATATAAATAGGATCATTCCAAGACAGGAAGTAGGAAAGGTAACGGGAAACAGCTAAGCACACAAAAAACACCCTCCAATTCATTATGAAGTCAGATAAATTAAGTTACCTTGAAGACTTTTAAAAAGTCCAATCCAACTTTGGTTTAACCTTTTTAATACCAAACCTACTATCATGGACAGTGTTCTTTTTATAGGCAGAATACAGATAGATGATGTATTGGGAAGAGCTTTAGAAGCCCTGGTCCTATGAAAAGAGATAGTAGGTAGTTATTATCTATAGTAGCTTCTCATCCAGTTACTAATTATTTAGACAACGGGCAAGGTCTTCTCCACATGGCAATTTTACTTGTTCTCCAAATTCTAATTAAAAAGAAGTGTTGACTTCTGGTCTGGATGAAATAAGACTCTGAGTTTCTGTAGTCATATTTCGGCTATGTGCCTGAATAATAACTAATTTTATTCCCTTTTGTTATTTTAGTGGTTTACATAGATGAAGATGAATATTGGGATCTTGAATTAATTGCAAGTGGTGTACCACGTAATTTCTCTGGAATAGTAAACGTTAAATGTCCAAACCCTAATGTGAATCTCTCAGAATCTGCATATGATGTGTTTTCTAAAAATCTTAATAAGAGGGTAAGTTCATTTTAGCTATGTAGAACTGCCTTAGGACGGTTGTGAAGTAAAAACATGGATGGAATGGACTCTCCCTAGGCTTATCAGAGATACTGTTTACAAAGTAGTTCTTTTTTTCCTTGAGTATTTTTTTTCACTATTAAAACAGACAGCTATTCTTTTCTATTGTTAGACAGCTAAGACTTATCTGTAGGCTAGAAATGTAATATATTTGGGTTAGAAATGTTTGCCCTTTGAGTATAAGACATTTATGGTATATAAGGGGAAATAGCATTTTACTTATTAAGAAGCTGAAGCTCTTAATAAGAATACTTAGCATCCTTTTGTAGCATTCTGCTAGAGAATCACATGGAATAGCCAAGTGAATTTTTGCCTTAGGAAAAGAAAATCAGGTTTTAGTCTAGTAAATAAAAAAGTGAAGACTAGATTTTCAAATTAATTAAAAGTGTACATAGCTAGAAGTTAATTGCAAACCAAATGAGAGGATTCTTTCTGTCTTCTGTCTAACTGATCATGATTAATGTTTTTCTCTCTCTATAGCTTAATGATGTATACAGTCACTCACCTGGATTGGGGATATATTTTATCTCATCTGAAGTTATTTCCTTCAGGTAGGAAGGGTGACAAAACCCCATATGTTTAATTATGCAATTTTAGGGAAAGGAATTTCCTCTTGGTAGTCATGTGTGGGCTGGGGAAAGTAAAGAAAATATGGAATGAAAGAAAGAAGACTTTCTATGCAGCTTATGGTATGTTGAAATGCAATTATTATTTATGCTGATGAGCATTTTATTTCAGCCATATCATAATTTCAGAAAACAGAGTATATTAAAATGATGCAGTCTATCCCCACTTGTATCCTGTTCATGACTAAAGTCAATCATAGTATTCTACATGAGTCTGTAAATTGTAAAGAACTCCAGCAGTGTTTAGTGGTTATTGAACTTGTTTGGTCTTTTTTACCTTTTAACTGAACAATATGAACAAGTAAGAAGTTTCTCCAATATGAAAGATTTAAAGAATCCAATATTGTTTTTTTCAGCTTTTCCATCCTACTTGTATAGTGAGGTTCTGCAGGTTCTGACCAGTTCTGGAGAACCAGTAGCAGAAATTTTGTGTAGTTCGGAGAACCGGTAGTAAACATTCTGACTGCCCCCCGCCCCAATCTATTCTCTGCCTCCCGTGTCCCAGCTGATCGGGAAGAAATGGGGATTTTGCAGTAACCTTTCCCTGGATTCAGGAGGGAATGGAGATTTTACAGTTTCCTTCTCCTGCCATGCCCACCAAGCCATGCCATGCCCACCAAGCCACACCCACAGAATCAGTAGTAAAAAATTTTGAAACCCATCACTGAATACAATATATTTTTGTCTGACATATGGCACCTATTAGATATTATTTGAAATCATAACTGTGAGGAAATGCTTTTGGTTCATGCAGAGCTATAGGCCCTTCAATTCTGAAATAATATGTCAGAGGGTATGGATCTGAAGACTTCAAACTTGCAGGCCTACCCTACTAGACCTCCTTTTGACCATGCTCCAGTGAACAAAAATGTTGAGTTTTGGTGTTATACAATAATTGGAAGCTACCATAAGAATCAGGTTGTTTGAAGTTTCTGAAATCAAATTGCATATCTTGTATAAATGAACTGCGTTCATTTTCCAGAGATATACTGTACATTGGTAACTGTAGCACTAGCTGTGGAAAGCAAGGAAAATGACTTTGACAGACATAAACCAAATCAATTAGTTAAGTGATGAGAAGAAGAACATATTTTAAGTCAAAATTAAGCAATAAGCAAAAGTAAGTGGTTCAGACATCTCCCCTAATTTACACATGTAAAGAATGGGAGCAAGCATGACACAATCAGACTTGTGATATTTTGTTATTATAGCCACTGTCGATTAAAATAGCCTTAGCTTCCCTGTGACATTGATTCTTAGTCTATGCTACCCAGTGGGACATATAGCAACATATTTACACTTAAAACATGTTAAGTGAAAACCTTAGAAACATTATGGTGGAATTGTTTTATAACTGTGGGATCCTTGGTGATGTCTGAGTTTGGTTGTTTTCTTGCAGATGTTTCATTACCAAATGAGATAACATCATTACGCTGATAATGGTAATGAAACATTTGCAAGAAAACAACCAAGCTCAGAAGGGACCAAGAACACCGTACTTCAAGCCTGAGCTACAAATATTCTCTTCCATTGTTTTCTAACCATTTGGCATTTCATTCTCACTTCCTATTATTCCTTCAGTAGAGAAAACAATATCGCATCATACTACTTGCAATTCTTGGTGCCAATTGAGAATGCTGACTTCATGACTTATAGAATGAGTGAAGAGTTTATAATGAATATTTTAAGACAAAATATATATGACAAGCAAAACATCTCTGACTTGGATATACCTGAATGTACAGATATAACACTGGACCCATCTTCTGTTACAATAAAATGTAAGTGCTTAAGAAAGTAGATAATAAGTTCATGTTCTTTTTTGAGAGAATATTAAAGGACATTTACTCTGATAATTCAGGACCTCTGGTCCAACATCCTAGGAACTATAAATTTGCTTCTCCTAGTTTGGTAACAGGTTCTAAACAATGAGACAATCACTTCCCATCCTGGCATCCATATCTATGACTAAGCTTTCAAATGCTGATATTTGAGACCCTTAAAAAACATGAAGGTAGAGAAGGGAGTTGGAGTTTTGGAGCCTGAGTGCCAAGATGACCTATAGTATGGGAAGTCTTAAATTTACCTAGACCTGTTCACACCTTTGTTGCAAGGGAAATTTAATCTAGTCTTGATGCTTGATTTAATAATAGAAGGGGATAATTTAAAAGAAAGGTTTCATTAAAAGCAATGAAACTTTGCGTCTTTTACTTGTCACTTATACTATCCTTGTTATTGGTTTGATTTATCTTATCTACTTGCTGAGAAATACTTCTAAATGAATTCCCAATATGTAAAACAACATCCTAATTTGTCCTCTTTAATGGTTATAATTACTTATTTAAATTATTAAATAATATTTTATAAACCTGAGATAGTTTTTATGTTAGTGTTAAGGATCTATGCCTAACATTTATATAACAATTGGTATTCATATATAAATATATCTGGTGTAGATGTAATTTACGTGATATAAAAATATTAATAATGAATAATTTTAGAAGTGTTTTCTTTTTCATATTTTTGAAATGCTTATCTTTTCTTTAAAGTAATATAAACCATCAATGCGGGAGGAAGAACTGAATGCAGATTTCAAGAGTGACTTGAAGGACTCTTCTGTTCTTCTTATGAATTTTTTATATTGCAACAGCAGAAAACAAACTCCTTGAAAAGCAATCAGAGCATAATATAAGAATACAAGAAACTGAATCAACAATTTTGATAAGAGGACAAATGTTCCAGATCTCAGATAAATAAAATCCTATTCAGTATAAAGACTTCTTTTTGGTGAAATAATAAGGACCTTTTTTTTCATTTTTCTGAAATCAAGTCAGGTTTCTACAAAAAAGTGTATTTAAAAAACAACAAAAAAACCCACAATTGTATAGAAATGTTGCTTTTATTATTGCTTATTATTTTTGTTACAATGTATGTCACTTTGAGAATGTTGGCTTTAATAATTCATAACAAAATTGATGAGTAATATAGTAATTGAATAGTAATTTAGTTACTAGTCAAACTAATTCTTTTGAGGAAAATACAGTAGGGATGAACAAATCTATCAGTTTTACTTTCATTTGTATACATTTTACAGTAATGAAGAAAATGGTAATTCCCTAGCAAATATAGTTATCACTACCTTTAAGCTATATAAGTCTCAATTGTTTGTACCAGATTATTAGGAGCAAGTTATTTCTTCTTTGGAAAGACCTTTTTTATCTTCTTCCCTATTAAAGTTAATGACGAAGAGCTTGGTTTGCAATTTTTTAAAAGTGAAAACTCCCTAATTCAGCAATATAAATATGATTGTATGCAGTATGTGCAAGTTTTTAAAGTCTGAAGCCTTCTGTTAGAATTGAAAAAAAATGCCAGTTTTGCTTTTCTTTCCTTTCAGTTCAATTTCAATTGAAATTCCTTTCAATTTCCTTTCAGTGCAAATTCGTCAGAATGGGGGCTTTCCTTCTATTGCAGCAGGTGAAACAAATGCTGGTTCCTCCCTTCCCACCTCCTGTAAACCTAGTAACCCCCTTGGCTGAAGCAATCTGCATTTTCAAAAGCTGTATTTTCAATTCAAGGGCACACCTATTATATGCAACAATCCTAACTGAGAACCTGAAAAGTACCTCCAAACTCTGGCCAATTTTATTGGCCAAACCTTCCCTATTCAGAATACCAAGCAGGGGGGTTACTATTCATCTGTGAGATGGCAGAGGCGCCCTGCTAAAGTAAGAGAAGTTATCCTGCTTCGGTGAACAGTCCTCCAACCCAACATGATCCAAGGGATGGTGGAGGTTGCTTGTGAGGATTTTCTGGAGCCTAAGAATAATGAAAATAAGTGTTTCAAAACTTTCCAGAATAGGAAGACAGGACATTTTTGTGGAAGTTGGCAATTACTGTTTTTTCCTCAATAACTTTGAGGCTCCATTTTAATGTGGTCCTTGATAGATGAGGATCAAAATAAACATATCTCATTTTCAGGATTCTGTAACCTAACCCTTTGCTCATTGCAATAAATATGCTACTTTGAATCTGCTTGAATCAGGTTACCTGATTGTGAACTGCTGTAACAGGTTAACACTACCCAAAGCATATGTATAGATGGATCTTTACCCACCAGTGCTCTGATTCTGCAGGCAAAGTGTATGCCTCCCAAATTCTGCCAGGGTTGAAGGAGTGATAGGGGAAGTGGGCGATTCTGTCAATTCCCCTCTGTAAAAAAGTGCTGACAGCGGCTGGAAGAATAACAGAGATCACCTTCACCAGACACTACACATCCACAAACACAGTATCCATCATAAGATTCGGGCTGATTTTAAATCTGGGTTTAATGGTCTTCTAAAAGACCTATATCCTCACTGCTGTTGAATTTGGATCTGGCGTACCAAGCTGTGCATAAAAATAGCTCAACTAACAATTAATGGTTACTCAGTGCCGGGGGAGAATTATTTTTTATTTCACATGTTAACTGCCAGTTCCTCATCATTTCTGCAAGCTAGTTATTTTTTTTTTAAAGATATTTATTTATTTTAATTGTAAAATTTTATTAGCTGCCTATCTTACCACACAGTAACTCTGGGTGACTTAACTAACTATAGGTTTAGTATTCTAAAGAAACCCTCCTTTACCATATAGCTAACCCCAGCACCTACCAACTGTTTTTCTAGATGATTGAAGGGTTCTGATAGCTCAGGACTGAATGAGGTCACAGAAGAAGTGGGGAAAGACAACTCTTTATCCCCATGATGACCAGAGATCTGATGGATAAAGTGTCATCTCTCCTAGATTTTCCTACAACTGAAAGCCTGGCAAATAGTTGTTGTTCATATTGAGCATTTTGTATTAATAATTCACTTTGCAGTGGTGTGGTTATATTCTCCAGGTGAAGGCTGCTGTATGGACTGATTCAGATGGTCTGGTATGTACCAAAGGATAGCCTGGTTAGACCAGCACTTTGAAGCGGTATAAATATCACCACAGAACACCATGAAATATTGAAGATCCTAGAAACTGCTCTAATAGTTTGAGAGAGAACATTATTGATTATACACACACACACGTTTATATATAAACACATGTACTAGGGGTGTCAAACTCGCTCACATCGCGGGTTGTATCATGACGTATTGCAATGTTTTTGCCTTTACGGAGCTGGGGTGGGCGTGACCTGCACAGGCTGTATCCGGCCTGCAGGCCACCAGTTTGACAGGCCTGCTGTACACCATTTAAAAATTTAAAAAATTCTATCAAAATGGCTTTTCCAAAGAAAACAACACTAAGCAGACAATATAAAGCAACTCCTAATTTATTAGTACATCATCATAATCATTGCTGTCTTGCTGGCCGGCAGGAGTCACTGTTTTGGAAATAATGATGATATCATCATAGTCAGTCATAGTGCTTGACGCATTTATGTTGCTACTGGCACGTTCTGCAAAGTCAATAGTAGTATAATGTAATTCAGAATGGCTGTCTGGTATTTTGTAAACAGTGTCCTGATAAAAAGAGATTAAAGTTGTTATTTTTTCCATATTAGAACTCTAATAATACATACGTTTCCTACACCTTAATTTAATTACTATTCTTAATTTGGTTAATAACCTGTGACTAGGTTTATTCCCTAACTACAGTTCCTCCAATATAAACTTTATATTGGTTAGTCAAGTAATTAAAATTCAACTGTTAGTTAGATCCAGACTTGGTTATTGTTAATTAATGTAAAACTAAAGCCAATCAAAACAAATATAAAAGAATTGTAAGCTATATGTGTACAAATCTTCATAGTTCAGATGCTTTAAATTTGAAAAACAACACCAGTCCCAGGTTTGGGCATTTTAATATTTATAACTGTCATTGAAATTGTGGCTGAATATCGTTTTATTCCCTAGAATACGAAGCTCAAAAGCATTACTCACACACCAAGTCTAATTGAGTCACAGGGTGAAGGAAATCAGTTATCTGATGTCATTAAATTATTCTGTTGAATCCTGGGCTTCAATCCCGGAGCTCATTGTTGACAACACTATGTTGTCCAAATGGCTGCTGGATTCAGTAGATGTGGGTTGATGTTGGTAGAGTCCATAAGAAGGTATTGTTTAGATGTCTCTCTGGTCATTTTTTATATCACTTCTCCCTTTTTCTCACAGCTGTAGCAATGCAACCATGTTAAAAGGATGCAGAAATGAGTAATGTGAGAATACTGATTCTGTTTTGCTGATTCATTGCAGAGAGGAAACCAAGAAATGGAAAAAAAAAAACCAAGCCCAGCTCTTCTATTTTCCTTTACAATAGTTGGAGTGGCCGTAAAAACATATAAAAACAGTTGCTGCAAAACAGTTTAGGACATCTTTACTATGCTAGCAGTGTGAAAAGTAGGGAAGGAACAGACAAGGAGATATCAGTTCTCTAGAAGAAGGATGCTCTAGAGCAGGAGTCTTCAACCTTGGCAACTTTAAGATTTGTGGACTTCAACTCAGCAAGCTGGCTGAGGAATTCTGGGAGTTGAAGTCCACAAGTCTTAAAGTTGCCAAGGTTGGAGACCCCTGCTCTAGAGCAACATTCTTCATGGTAACATTGTCATGAGAATTCATGAGCCATTTTTAACAAAATGTCCAATTGAATTGGAAATGGCAATTAAATAGATTCAGGCCAGAGGTTAGATGCACAATAAGCTCCTTGTTCTCACAAAACTCTTCTGTGCTTCCTAGTAAATTTTCATATAAAACACAGTTTTATTGTACCTTAAAGAAATTTGACTTTTTGAAACAGTTTCAATATTAAAGGCTAAAAAAGAATTAATACCTTGCACCAACATGTAATAACAATAATAAAACAATTAAAAGAGGGGCTTGAATGAGAAAGTTTAAAGCTTGCCAGCAAGTGGAAGTCAGATGAATAAATCCTAACTTTTCAGTCTTTCAATATTAAAATGCATTTACTGTATTACAATAAATACCTGATCAGAAAGTAAGGAAATGTTTTCAATCTTTATTGGAATAAAATGAGAAATCCAAGCAAAAACCTGTCCTATATTTGAGCACTTTATGCTTTTCTTGCACTCAAAAATATGTAAGGAACAACAGTGGTGACAAAAGGTGCACACTGAGCTGACTTTGCTGATTTTGAAAAGGTAAGTAGATGACCACTTGGTTATGATATCTTAGGAAAACTAAAATCTATAGACTGAAAATTGAAAAACTCGCAGAAGAAGGCAACAGCTAATCATTTCTCTTTTATGGTTAAAAGAAGAAAGTACCATAAAGCTGCAATAAACTCACAGGAGACCTGACTTTAAGAGAGGACAGAAGGGTATAAGGCCTTTTTGGTTAAGCACTTTGGAAGTTCTGCAAAGAGTAACTGTTCTGGAGCCTTTTTAAAACACTGGATTGGCCAAAAGCAGAACTTGTTTAACCCTCCCAGGCTATTATTTTCATCAATTTATTCTTCAATTTACAGAAGGCTGCAAAAGGAAGTAGATTTGTTGCAGAGTGGCAGATTTGTTGCCCTAATAATCAGGGAAATAGAAATATGATTAAACTAGACTATGAAAAGTATGAAAAACTATAACTGAAATAAAACACTTGTATTAGCTACAACAACGATAAACATGACTGTTTCTGGAGCTTCCTCCTTTTAAATTATTTCTTCCATTTCTCAACAAATCACTCCACATCTTTCATTTTTATAAAACCATAAAATATCAGGATTGGAAGGAATTGTAGACACTCTATATTCCAACTCTTAGTCCTTAGTCATTTTCTGAAACAACATTAATTCTGCTTTGCCTTTACATGATGGCCTTCAGTTAGGAAAAGACAGCTATCATGTCTCTTACAGTGTTCCCTTTTCCAATTATTCATACATTTTTCTTCTCAGACCCCTTCTCATCTTGTTTGTTCTACTCTGAATATATTTCAGTGTATGTATCATTTTCTTTCATAAATATTGTAATATTTTTGTAATAAAAGAATATGCTATATAGGATCTGACTAAAGCAGAATAAAGAAGCATTGAACTGCATTTACTAATTTTTGATTCATATTTAATTTGTAAGACATTAAGGCAATCATACATTTCATGCATGTCCAGCTGCCCACAACTACAAATTTCTAATGTTTTCTTACCAAATTGAAAGATTCTGCATTTGTCTCTGATGAAATTCATCTTGTTGAGTTTTATTTGAACTTGCCAATCTGAATCTGATGCTGTTCTCCAGTATTTTTGTTATCATGCAGTAGTGTGTCATTAGTTGT